ACGAGCTTTGGCCTAGCGAGCTCCGCGAGTGGCACCTCGGGGACTTGCATGGCATCCTGAAAACTGCCCCAGCTGCTAAGCTGCGTCAGCTTTTGCAAGACGTGCAAACTGTGCAAGCTGGCCAGGCGCGGTCTCAGAGTGCACTTCCACACACTTTTGCGTATTTTGGGCGAAGGGCCTCAGATGCCTGTTGTGATTTTGCGCGCGCGCAGGCCACTTCTAGGTCTGCGGGGGCGGCGGCTAGCGCAGCAGAGGCTTGCGCAGGGGCGGCGGAGGAAGGGCATGAATCGGAAGGGGCGCCTACTCGCTCTCAGGCAGACGTCGATCTAGCTGCCTGTCGCAAGGCCCCCTTTTCTTTCGGGCAAGTAGGGTAGTGCTGGACCTTGTTACTGCGTAGGGCTGCCACCCCTCTTTGAACTGTCAGGTAAGTTGGATGCTTTGTTTCGTGTGTTTGCAGTGTTCCCACAATGGATGCCGTATCTGATGTGTTGGCATTGGCCTGAAGATGGATGCCTTATTCCCAAGCAGCACTCCCTGCAAACGGTGCCAGCTCGATGTTTTTTAGGCTTCTCAGATATCTTGAAAACTATCAAGCGAGGTCCAACATTAAAACGTGTCTCAGGCCTATTCAGTCTGGTTGAGCTGTCGATGCTCAGGCACCTGTGGAGCGTTCCGATGCGGCAGTGGAGCACTCACCTTGGAAGGGCATGGGGCAGAAAGAGCGTTTGCAAGCTCTGCGGCAAGCGTATGGTCGATGACAAGGCCAGGAGCGCACCTTTTGCAAAGCAAGGCAAAGACGTGCCGCAACAGGTTCCATGTGTTCAGTTGGATCGAAGTTCTCAATGGCTTGCACGAGTGTCAAAAGCCGTGGCGCTTGCCAGCAGTGTGCTTGATGTGATGTGAGCTATTTTTTCCATGACAAGATGCTGTAGCTGAGCAGAATAGGAAATGGCGAGCTGCATCCTTGCTCGTCGCGTGACCTTTCGGGTTTAGGGGGAATAGAAGAGCTCAACCACATTTCTGCGTGCTCTGCTAGCCTCGTGCACATGGAGCAAGCAGAAATGCATGGAATACTCACAATTACGGGGGGCCATTTACCTGGTGGGACACGGGGGAAGAGAAGAATTCAACAACATTTCTGCCTGCTCTGCTAGCCTCGTGCACACGGAGCAAGCAGAAATGCATGGAATACTAAAAATTAAGGGGGGCCATTTTCCTGGTGGGACACGGGGGAATAGAAGAGCTCAACCACATTTCGTGAGCATTTGCTGCCCGAAGATTACTGCGGCGGCCATGGCTGGGCCGCCACGTGAGCTAGGGCAGGACGGTCGCATTTGACCCTACCTCAACGTGGTCGCATTTGACCCTACCTCACGATGAGGTAGGGTCAAATGTGACCGGAGGTAGGGTCGCATGTGACCGGGGCCCCTGTTCCTTTGTAACAACCATGCAACTGAAGAGCCACTTTTTGACAGTGAGGTAGGGTCAAATGTGACCGGTGCGTTTCGCGTGGCCCTGCCGTGGAATTGGAACGCAGTATTCGATGTATCTAACAGATCCAGTAGGGACAAAGGTGACCGGAGGTAGGGTCGTGTGTGACCGGGGCCCCTGTTCCGTCGTAAAAAACGAGCAACTCAAGGGCCTTGTTTTGAGAGTGAGGTTGGGTCAAATGTGACCGGAGCCTTTTGTTTCGTTAGTTGTGTTGTTGGAGGCAATGTGCATGGGCATTCTTGGTTGTTGTCTTGTAATGTTGTGGCCCGTGCGTGCCGACCAGGTGGTGGTGGCTTTTTGCGTGCTCATTTATTTGTCAGGTGGTGGTTCTCCCGCGTTGGCCACCGCGCAGAAACCCTAAAAATGATGTGGTGACTACCTGAAGAAGTGACAGCAAACCAGAAAACCCTAAAGTGATGTGGTGACTGTAACTGAAGTGACAACGCAGCAGAAACCCTAAAAGTGATGTGGTAACTACCTGAAGAAGTGACAGCTAAACCCTAAACCCTAGAGTGATGTGGTGACTATAACTGAAGTGACAACGCAGCAGAAACGTGAAAAGTGATGTGGTAACAGTGACAGCTAAACCCTAAACCCTAGAGTGATGTGGTGACTATACCTGAAGTGACAACGCAGCAGAAACCGTAAAAGTGATGTGGTAACTACCTGAAGAAGTGACAGCTAGGGCCCTTCTCGGGATGTGGTGACTACCTGAAGAAGCGACAGCGCAGCAGAAACCCTAAAGTGATGTGGTAACTGCCTAAAGGAGTGGCAGCGCACCAGAAACCCTAAAGTGATGTGGTGACTACTTCAAGAAGTGACAGCGCAGCAGCAACCCTAAAGTGATGTGGTGACTACCTAAAGAAGTGACAGCAAACCAGAAAACCCTAAAGTGATGTGGTGACTATACCTGAAGTGACAACGCAGCAGAAACCCTAAAAGTGATGTGGTAACTACCTGAAGAAGTGACAGCTAAACCCTAACCCTAGAGTGATGTGGTGACTATACCTGAAGTGACAGCACAGCAGAAACCCTAAAAGTGATGTGGTAACTACCTGACGAAGTGACAGCTAAACCCTAAACCCTAGAGTGATGTGGTGACTATAACTGAAGTGACAACGCAGCAGAAGCCCTAAAAGTGATGTGGTAACTACCTGAAGAAGTGACAGCTAAACCCTAAACCCTAGAGTGATGTGGTGACTATACCTGAAGTGACGACGCAGCAGAAACCCTAAAAGTGATGTGGTAACTACCTGAAGAAGTGACAGCTAAACCCTAAACCCTAGAGTGATGTGATGACTATAACTGAAGTGACAACGCAGCAGAAACCCTAAAAGTGATGTGGTGACTACTTCAAGAAGTGACAGCGCAGCAGCAACCCTAAAGTGATGTGGTGACTTCCTAAAGAAGTGGCAGCAAACCAGAGAACCCCAAAGTGATGTGGTGACTATAACTGAAGTGACAACGCAGCAGAAACCCTAAAAGTGATGTGGTAACTACCTGAAGAAGTGACAGCTAAACCCTAAACCCTAGAGTGATGTGGTGACTGTACCTGAAGTGACAGCACAGCAGAAACCCTAAAAGTGATGTGGTAACTACCTGAAGAAGTGACAGCTAAACCCTAAACCCTAGAGTGATGTGGTGACTACACCTGAAGTGACACCGCAGCAGAAACCCTAAAAGTGATGTGGTAACTACCTGAAGAAGCGACAGCGCAGCAGAAACCCTAAAGTGATGTGGTAACTGCCTAAAGGAGTGACAGCGCACCAGAAACCCTAAAGTGATGTGGTGGCTACCTCAAGAAGTGACAGCAAGCCAGAAAGCCCTAAAGTGATGTGGTGACTAACTAAAGAAGTGACAGCAAACCAGAAAGCCCTAAAGTGATGTGATGACTATACCTGAAAGCGATGTCAAAGCCTCAAGACCTAAAGTGACGCATTTGGCAAGAAACCGTCAGGTAGGGTACGGTCAAATGCGACCGGTGCGTTTCGCGTGGCCCTGCCGTGGAATTGGAGCTTGATGCTGCCATCTTTGCCAGCTGGCAATGTTGCTTGAACGCAAAGTAGGGTAGGGTCGCTTGTGGCCGGTGCGTTTCGCGTGGCCCTGCCGTGGAATTGGAACTTAGTATTGCCACTTGGCACTGATTTTAAGCCCAAAGTAGGGTAGGGTCAAATGTGACCGGTGCGTTTCGCGTGGCCATGTCGTGGAATTGGAGCTTGATGCTGCCATTTCTTTGCCAGTTGGCCACGTTGCTTGAGCCCAACGTAGGGTAGGGTCAAATGTGACCGGTGCGTTTCGCGTGGCCTTGCCGTGGAATTGGAACATAGTACTGCCATTTGGCACGGATTTTTGAGCCCAAAGTAGGGTAGGGTCAAATGTGACCGGCGCGTTTCGCGTGGCCATGTCGTGGAATTGGAGCTTTACGCTGCCATGTTGGCATGGTTTTTGAAGCCAAAGTAGGGTAGGGTCAAATGTGACCGGCGGGTAGGGTCGTATGCGACCGTCCTCCCTGAGCTAGTGCTAGCCCAGGCAGCCATGGCATTGGCCCTGGTCATTTTGCTGCGGCTGTCAGGCCTTCCCTACGAACCGGACAGGCTGCTGCGGCCGTGGTTCGGGGTGGCGCTGCGTTGCTGTGAGAACTTTTTGCGACAGATTTGCGCTGTGCTCAATGGGCGCTGCAGGGACCAGATACGTTTCGACTGCAGCGCTTTGGCTACGTGTGCGGGCACTTTGTGGAACCACTGGAGTGGCGCACACGCGCGAGTGTTGGCAGCCGGTCAGATGCCTTCTGCGCTTCGCTCCGCAATGCTATCCTGTAGCTTCTGCGTGCTGGGCCTGCCGTGGGCACGAATTCAGGCTGGCGAGTGCGTAGGGACTGGTGTTTTGTGGATCATGACGAAGACACTCATCGTGTTCGCAGTCGTAGGCTAGCACGGTTTTGAACATGCGTGGGTTAGCCGGCGCTCGCTGGTCTTTTCAAGCTTGGACATGTTAACGCAGGCACTGGTTGGTGGTCCTGGAGAAGCTCATCCTGGTGCGTGCGCAATCATCGACGTAGAGGCGCGTCCAGGGTCGCTTGCAGCGCGCCCTAACTAACAGTGTGTCTGCAATTTCACTGGCAGGCAACATGCAATGCCGGCGTGGTGGTGACGGTGCAGGACTGTCTTGTTTATTGTGAGCAGTCCCAATGCGTCGCTCTATGTCAAAACGCAGTCTTAAAAACGATGTGCCAGACATGCTTGGGACACTAAGACAGAGGACTCAAAGAATGAACGGGGTTCCTCAAGCATAAAACAGGCCATATCCCTGAGCAGGGTAGGGTCAAGCACGTTCAACCAAACCGCTTCCCACGAGAGAGAGAGAGAGAGAGAGAGAGAAAAAAAAGAGAGAGAGAGAGAGAGAGTTCGTTCTGATTTTCCATCGAGATTAACGATTGGAAACTGTGGAAGCTTTGCAGCCATTTTTTGTCGGCAGTGCTTCTTATCACACAGAACGAGTCACTCTTCGCCATGGCTGCTTTCGATGATCAATCTGGCATCACGCCGGAAGCCATCCCGGATATTGCGGCGCTTTTCCGAAGCAAACCAGTCCTGTTTGGATTTGTCCGTGAAGGGGAGGCTGCGGGCTCTAGTGCCAGCAGCGCCAGTGCGGAAGAGTATGGACGCGGGCTGGGCATGAGCTTTCAGGCGTTAGGCACGTATGCCCCACAAGCTCCAGCGCCCGTCCGGGATTGGTGTCCCACACAGGATGAGGTGGATAGGTCTCTGGAGTCAACAAAGTCTGCTTTGAATAGACAGTTAGGCAACAAGGCGAAGCAGCCCTTGTATTGCGTGGACTGGAAGGCCGGAAAGCAGGCGCTGGTGTACAACTATGTCTGTCCAGAGCAGAAGCCGGCCGGTCTTGCAGGCGATGCCATTTTCGAATGGATAGAGTCCTCGTCCACTGAGTGGCGTGACGCGTCCCATGGCACAGCTGCAGTGTTCCCTTTGGAATCCTCCGAGCCGGGATGTTATCAAGATGGATCGGCCGCGGAGGATTCTGAAATTGTGCTGTATCATTCATCGCGGCCGGCCCTGCTGAACAAAATTTTGGAAGAGGGACTGGCGCCTTCCATTTACAGTCATGGCATATGCGGCGCTTGGACGTTTGCTCTCGCCCCTTGGGCCGCTTATCGCTGGGGGTCGTGCATCCTGGAGCCCGTTGAGGGCATGGTCTTCACCGTCAAGCTGCCACGCAGAATGCTGACCGAGAAATCTCCTCGAACTCCTGCAGCAGACACGGTCAACACTGGCCTCGTCTCCAACCAGCGCATCCGTGGGGATGGAAGCGGTGGATATCTACGCTTTGTGGTGCCGGGGCAGTACATGAATTCTGCGTTGCCCATCAGAATGACGTCTGTGTCCTTTCTGCTTCGGGATCCTAACGCCATGACATTCTCCGAGGGCCTCAGCTATGGAGTTCGGCTTTCTGCGTTGTGGGTTCTTGGTCACTCGGTGTGTGACGAGGGTGACCTGGCTTTGGAGCCGGGTCTGCAGCCGCAACGCAAGCCCCTACTGCAAGGCTTTGATGCGTTGATAAAGCAGAAGGAGGACAAAGAGCTCGCAGACTTGTTGGAGCATCTCGGAACGATTTGAGTATCCATGATTGTGGCAATCTCATATCAGGGCTGGTTGTGGCACTGTCTGGTTTGCTTATGTCCAGGACGGTAACATGATGTTTGTATTTTTTTCTTGGCGCATCTTCTATGTGATCCGGGCCAAAATGCCCTCCAAGAGCTCCTCTTGCGACAGCCTGTTTGGTCTATATGATACAGACTGGCCGAACCCCAGATTTGCGTCTTTTAAGTGATTAATTCCTTATTTTTTTCTATATTACTGTCCTGTACTATAGTTTTCGTTTCGTTGCAAGGCACTTCATCTTTCTCATCAGAAGTCGTTTAGGTCCCTGCAGGCTGCATGAGGAACTTCTGTGGTTCATTTTTTTCAGGTCATGCCGGCGAGGCGCTGATGAAGCTCTGTGGGCGCAGACGAAAGGGCACTCAAGCAAGGTAGTGCGGCAGCTTGTCTATCAAGTTAATCGTCGGCTGGTTTATTCCTCTGTTAGTGGCAAAAGCTGTGCTTTCTTGGATGACGATGAGCTGAAGGCTATGATTGCTGGTACTGATAAACATTTGAAGACGCTTGCGGAAGCGATGTATAGCATCATTTCGATGCCGGAGGACCAGTATAAGCTGGTATACAGACTGAGTGGCCACATTGCAGTACTCCTGTATTCGTTCCAGGCTTTTTCGGCGGTGAATGCTGCGGCAGCATTGGATTGGTGGAAGGATGTCCCCTGGGCAAAAGTCCCGGCTCCACTGGCAGTCTTTCTGAGCAAGTGGTATGGAGCCAGTGTGTGGAAGAACCTTCTTGCTGGAGAGCCATCGCACATGCAAGCGGTCACCTGGCGGCCTTCCTCAGGGTCTGTTTTTGAGAAACGCATGGACAGCCGCAGCAGCCGCACTGAAAATTGCCGCGTGCCAATAGAGGCGGCTGCCAGTTCGCTTGGCGCAGCAAGGCCTTCGAAAAGAAGCGCTGAGTCATCGTTTGCCTGGCCAACCTCGTGCTCAGCAGAGCTAGCGGGCGATGGCACGGACCACTCGGGACCAATGACTCATGTCCACATGCATGGTCGCAACCAAAGGCCCAAGTACCAGTCTTTGTGCTCTGCGTGCCTGGAGAACAAACGTTCTGCCGGGACAAAATTTGACGTCCATGACTGAAGGAGTTTTTGCCCGTTGGAAGCGCGAAAAAAAGCGGATGACCCTGCCGTCAGCTTCGGCATGAAAGACATGCTCGACGTCGAATATTACCGCTAAGAGTAACAAAAATACAAAAGATATGGAATGCTAAAGAGCTCAGCCACATGTCTGCCTGCTCTGCTAGCCTCGTGCACACGGAGCAAGCAGAAATGCATCGAATACTAAAAATTAAGGGGGGCCATTTACCTGGCGGGACACGGGGGAATAGAAGAGCTCAACCACATTTCTGCGTGCTCTGCTAGCCTCGTGCACACGGAGCAAGCAGAAATGCATGGAATACTAACAACTACGGGGGGCCATTTACCTGGTGGGACACGAGGGAAGAGAAGAATTCAACAACATTTCTGCCTGCTCTGCTAGCTTCGTGCACACGGAGCAAGCAGAAATGCATGGAATACTAAAAATTAAGGGGGGCCATTTACCTGGTGGGACACGGGGGAATAGAAGAGCTCAACCACATTTCTGCGTGCTCTGCTAGCCTCGTGCACACGGAGCAAGCAGAAATGCATGGAATACTGACAATTACGGGGGGAAACGAAGAGATAAGCGAAGAGAGAGAAGAGAAGAGAAAAGAAAGGGAAAAGAAGAGATGAGCGAAGACAGAAAAGAGAAGAGCAGAGAGAAGAGAAGAGAGAAGAGCAGAGTGAAAAGGGAAGAGCAGAGAAGAGAAGAGAAGAGAAGAGCGGAAAACAAGGAGAGAAGAGAGGAACACAAGGAGAGAAAAGAAGACAGAAGCAATCCACTCCTATAGTTGCTATATTCTTAGAAACTTCCGCGCACCGGCTTCGCCGGCTTTACTGGTAATATCCCATTCAACCGTGGAATCGAACTACTGGCTCAGTGCCTGGGTCCTGAAAACGGTCTCAGCCATGGTCGTCCAATGCCCCTGCACGAAGTGGCTGTGCTTCCTGCCAGGACATACTGGCTGAGTGGCGACAAGTGTCGCGCGCTGCCCTGCGCAACCTTTTGCGTGAGAGCTCATGAGACCCAGGCCACTGTCCTCGAGCATAACAGATGCATAACAGAGCCTGACCTTTGAGCGTGCCAGAAGCCTCAGCCCCAATCAAAAGTTTGGGGAAACCAATTGGGGAAGCTTTTGGGGAAAGACCCCCCCTAAATCCGGCATTGTGAATGGATTGGCCAAGCAGCTTGCAGAGCCTGACCTTTGAGCGTGCCAGAAGCCTCAGCCCCAATCAAAAGTTTTGGAGAACCTTTTGGGGAAGCTTTTGGGGAAAGACCCCCCCCCTAAATCCGGCATTGTGAATGGATTGGCCAAGCAGCTTGCAGAGCCTGACCTTTGAGCGTGCCAGAAGCAAGGCCCTTTCCACCTTAGCCCCAATAAAAAGTTTTGGGGAAGCTTTTGGGGAAAGACCCCCCCCCCTAAATCCGGTATGTGACTTCATGTGTCCTTGTGTGGATGTTCGCTTGGTAAGGAAGCGCACCCTGCAGCTTCAGTCTTGCTCCGTCAAGAGGACAGTGCGTGCTGAAGATGCATCGCCGCGTCGTAGCTTTTTGCTGCTCAGGCAAACAGTGGCTCAGCGGCAATGCCTTGTCAAGAAACAGGCACCGCCAACATGGCCGTCGCCCTCGGGTGGCTGCTGGCCTTGCGCGCCCTGGTGGATGATGGCGCCGATGAGTCCGCCCTGCATCGGCGGGTCCGCCTGTTTGCCCCGCTGCATTTTGCCGATTTGTATCCGCATGAGTTGTGGGCGCTGCTGGAGAACCTCGTCTCCGATACGGACCGCGTCGTCGGCAATGGCATGCCGTGGCAAGATCTCGCTGGCTCTAGGGCGCAGTTGGGCGAGCTGTTTTGCGCGCGGTTTGCCGCGCGCGCTACAAACAAGTGCGCCAGAGCAGTGGGCGACACCATGGAGCAGGTGCAAAAGCTCTGAACGAAGCTTGCCCAAAGCCAGAACGATGCTCTCCTGTCTGCAGGTCGCCAAGATGATACGCTCATGTCTGAAGACGAGTTTCATGACGCGCTCCTGTCACAGTCTGAAGATGAAGGCAGCCACGACAGCCCCGTGTACTGAGTTGTCCAGATGACACAGATGAAGTCGGCCAAGACAGTGAGTCCATGTAATTTGCTTGGATGCATTTCTTATTTGCACCCGGCTGCATGCAGCCAAGACAGTGATTCCGTGAAATTTGCCCGGATGCTGTGTTTTGCACGGACATTGAAATTCAAACCAGTCCAATCACGTTGCGCCTAGAAGAGCCGAAAAGCACGCGCGCTGACAAGTTGCCGCTTAGAGCCCTTGAGTGGCGCAGCAGCTACCAACTCATGCGTGGCTTGGACTGCGACTCAAAACTTTTGCCGCAGCAAGTGGCGCAAGTCTAGAAAGCCATGGACGGCGCAGATTGGGATGAGTGGCTCGAGGTCAGCACGGAGTCTGCGTGGCACCGCAAGAGATGCCGGCAGATCAAGACCGTGCAAGCACGCTTTGGGTTCCTGCCAGACAGCGTGGTGCGGGAGGCAGGCCAAGAATGCGCGGGCTGCTACTAGGGTCCTGTCTTCAAACTCCCTCTCTGTTTGGCGATGTTAGCATTTAGTTTGGGGTGGGGCGGGGGGGAGTTGAAAAAAAACAACAAGGGAAACAGGAATATCAAACATGCTTGAAAGTACGACAGCTTTAGGTTTTAGACATTGGCCCTGCAGGCGTTACCGCGCGGCATCGACACCTCGAGTCGCTTAACATGGGCCGAGGCCATGCAGACGTGTATGAACCGCTTGCAGGCATACGCGGCGGCCTACAAGTCGCAGTAAAGTGGCGAGAGTCACAAAGTGGCCAAACCTAAGACTCAGCCATGCCCAGGAAAAGTGGTCGAGCTGCGACGTTTGTAGGTCGGTCATTGGAGACTGCTGCTGTTGGATTTGCTGGCATGGCCTGGTTCTGGAAGTAGCTGGAGGTCGTTAGAGCAAAATGCACTGCAGGTTGATTTGTTGCTATTTCGAGGGCTGCTTTGGGGTTTCAAAGCCTGTTTTGGAGACGACCCCAACAAGGGGGCGGCGTTGTTTCTGTGTCCACTGGAGCTTTGGGATCTGGCCTCTGACAAGCAGAGACGTTTGGCGGTCTTTCTGCAGGTAAGCCTTGCTTGAAAAATTGGAGCGGGTCAAATTGACATGTCTCCGTTTTACTTGGGGCTGGTAGGGACGAGCGTCAATCTTGTAATAGGGCTTTTAGACAACCCTTGTAAAGCATCCTACGCGGGAGTGTTGCCCATGGAACGCACGTTTGATTGGAGCTACTGGCAAGCACTAGGCAGCTCTGCTCAAGGGCTTCCTACCTTGAGTTGTGCTGAGCGAGTGTCCAAGGATTCTTCAGTGTAGACAAGTAGATTTGAAGAAGGCATTTCGTCAGGGGTCTTGAGTCTCCTTCTGTGCGTGACTTAAGCATCATTTCTCAGTCTCATGTGTTTGATTTTCCTCTGGTTGGTGTGATGTTTGCAAGAAACCCTTCTCGAGATGCGAGCCAAGGCCAAAAGCCTAAATCCTAAAGCCAAACCCAAAAGCCTAAAACCTACAGTAACCTAAAACCTAAAGTGATGCAAGCCAAACCCAAGAGCCTAAACCCTAAGCCCAAATCCAGAACCCTAACACCTACAGTGATACGAGCCAAGGCCAAAAGCCTAAATCCTAAAGCCAAACCCAAAAGCCTAAAACCTACAGTAACCTAAAACCTAAAGTGATGCAAGCCAAACCCAAGAGCCTAAACCCTAAGCCCAAATCCAGAACCCTAAAACCTACAGTGATACGAGCCAAGACCAAAAGCCCTCCTAAAGCCTAAATAAACCTAAACAGTGAACCCAAAAAAGCCTAAATCCTAAAGCCAAACCCAAAAGCCTAAAACCTACAGTAACCTAAAACCTAAAGTGATGCAAGCCAAACCCAAGAGCCTAAACCCTAAGCCCAAATCCAGAACCCTAAAACCTACAGTGATACGAGCCAAGACCAAAAGCCTAAATCCTAAAGCCAAACCCAAAAGCCTAAAACCTACAGTAACCTAAAACCTAGAGTGATGTGAGCCAAACCCAAGAGCCTAAACCCTAAGCCCAAATCCAGAACCCTAAAACCTACAGTGATACGAGCCAAGACCAAAAGCCTAAATCCTAAAGCCAAACCCAAAAGCCTAAAACCTACAGTAACCTAAAACCTAGAGTGATGTGAGCCAAACCCAAGAGCCTAAACCCTAAGCCCAAATCCAGAACCCTAAACCTACAGTGATACGAGCCAAGGCCAAAAGCCTAAATCCTAAAGCCAAACCAAAAGCCTAAAACCTACAGATAAAACGAGACGCAAAACCCAAGCCAAACCTAAGCCTCCAGAACCCTAACACCTACAGTGATACGAGCCAAGGCCAAAAGCCTAAATCCTAAAGCCAAACCCAAAAGCCTAAAACCTACAGTAACCTAAAACCTAAAGTGATGCAAGCCAAACCCAAGAGCCTAAACCCGAAGCCCAAATCCACAACCCTAAAGCCTACAGTAACCTAAAACCTAAAGTGATGCGAGCCAAGCCCAAAAGCCTAAATCCTAAAACCAAACCCAAAAGCCTAAACCCTACAGTAACCTAAAACCTAAAGTGATGCGAGCCAAGCCCAAAAGCCTAAATCCTAAAGCCAAACCCAAAAGCCTAAACCAAAACCCAAAACCTAGAGTGATGTGAGCCAAACCCAAAAGCCTAAACCTTAAAACCAAACCCAGAACCCTAAAACGTACGGTAACCTAAAACCTAAAGTGATGCAAGCCAAACCCAAGAGCCTAAACCCTAAACCCAAATCCACAACCCTAAAGCCTACAGTAACCTAAAACCTAAAGTGATGCGAGCCAAGCCCAAGAGCCTAAATCCTAAAACCAAACCCAAAAGCCTAAACCCTACAGTAGCCTAAAACCTAAAGTGATGCGAGCCAAGCCCAAAAGCCTAAATCCAAACCCAAAAGCCTAAACCCAAAACCCAAAACCTACAGTGATACGAGCCAAGACCAAAAGCCTAAATCCTAAAGCCAAACCCAAAAGCCTAAAACCTACAGTAACCTAAAACCTAGAGTGATGTGAGCCAAACCCAAAAGCCTAAACCTTAAACCCAAACCCAGAACCCTAAAACGTACAGTAACCTAAAACCTAAAGTGATGCAAGCCAAACCCAAGAGCCTAAACCCTAAGCCCAAATCCACAACCCTAAAGCCTACAGTAACCTAAAACCTAAAGTGATGCGAGCCAAGCCCAAAAGCCTAAATCCTAAAACCAAACCCAAAAGCCTAAACCCTACGGTAACCTAACACCTAAAGTGATGCGAGCCAAGCCCAAAAGCCTAAATCCTAAAGCCAAACCCAAAAGCCTAAACCCAAAACCCAAAACCTAGAGTGATGTGAGCCAAACCCAAAAGCCTAAACCTTAAAACCAAACCCAGAACCCTAAAACGTACGGTAACCTAAAAAACCTAAAGTGATGCAAGCCAAACCCAAGAGCCTAAACCCTAAACCCAAATCCACAACCCTAAAGCCTACAGTAACCTAAAACCTAAAGTGATGCGAGCCAAGCCCAAGAGCCTAAATCCTAAAACCAAACCCAAAAGCCTAAACCCTACAGTAACCTAAAACCTAAAGTGATGCGAGCCAAGCCCAAAAGCCTAAATCCTAAAGCCAAACCCAAAAGCCTAAACCCAAAACCCAAAACCTAGAGTGATGTGAGCCAAACCCAAAAGCCTAAACCTTAAACCCAAACCCAGAACCCTGAAACGTACAGTAACCTAAAACCTAAAGTCATGCAAGCCAAACCCAAGAGCCTAAACCCTAAGCCCAAATCCACAACCCTAAAGCCTACGTAACCTAAAACCTAAAGTGATGCGAGCCAAGCCCAAAAGCCTAAATCCTAAAGCCAAACCCAAAAGCCTAAACCCTACAGTAACCTAAAACCTAAAGTGATGCGAGCCAAGCCCAAAAGGCTAAATCCTAAAGCCAAACCCAAAGCCTAAACCCCAAACCCAAAAACCTAAAGTGATGTAAGCCAACCCCAAACCCAAACCCCAGCCCCCAAACCCTCTGCTGTGGTGGGCACTTCCGGGATTGAATGCGCGAATGACTCCAAGATTGCGTGCGCAGATGACCCTGCGGGATTGAATGCGCGAATGACTCCAAGATTGAATGCGCGGATGACCCCACCACCCCAAAAACCACCCCCCTAATTAAAAGACTGGTTGGTTGATTCATCTGGGGTCAACATTAGCCACCAAAGAATGAAGTCGTGGAACCTGAAGACAATTCACCATATTTTCCTCAAGGGACCCGGTCCCTGTGACTCATGAATTGGTGAGAACCAGTACCGCCCCTCTGAACATGTGATCCACAAGACCATCATCAGAGCTTGGTTTGGGAGGCTTGGGCAGGCCGAGTTTCCAGGGCGAGAGCTTCCATTTGCTTAAGGATAGTTGTTATTTTCCCTTGTTGGCTTTGAAGGGATTTTCCCCTGCTTATTTTCTCATGTTTTCCCCTGTTTGTTATGTTCCCCTGTTGGCTTATCACTACTGGAAATATGTTCTCATTTCAGCAAATGGAAGAGTGCCACCTTCCGGGCCGCTCGCCAGGATCTCGGGGCTGAGTACGACCGGGAGCTCTTTGTGATTTCTGTGATCGGCATTCAGAGCTCGGCCAGACTCTGAGACATCCGGAGTCTGCAAACTGCAATCAATGAAACAGGGAATACTTACATATATAAGTAGAATACATATGTATGTATATATATATACACATAGAGATATATACATGTTATGTATATATATATATGTATTATATATATATATATATGTATCCTGCCACAGTGCCCCCTACTCTGCAACAGCCGGACGTATAAAGCGACAAATGTATTGTTTGGTATGCACACAAGAGGTTACTTGCATGTTACCTCAACTGGGTGGAACGAAGCCTTTCCTCCTGGAGCAAAACCTTACACCCTGAAACAGTTCGACTCTTGAGACGATTCAATGTACACACACACACACATATGCGGCAGGCAGAATCGTCCGTAGCATCATCGTTGTTCGTTACACAAGTAGATGTCACGTTTCCAAACGCGAGTTATCAATTCACTCGGCGGCATCGAAGTTCTTTACGAAGCAAATATGAAATTGCAGCTTTCAAGCCCAACATGACCAGTCTGCTTTTGACACCCCCTGCCTCACCTGCATTTTGGTAAAGAAGCGATTGGCCGCTTTGTCAAAGCTGATGCCGCTCCGGTCGACACCCCGAGCATTACCGTGCTGTGAGGGTTCCCCAGTGACTCCAACTTGGTTCGGGACAAAGCTTGGCTTCTTTTGCCAGATTGACTTACAGGTACCACATGCACAGATCTGGTCAAACTCCTTGAACACATCCGTAAATCAGACAAGTAGATCCTTGTGAGTAATACGAGCTGGATCATTTTTTTCTTCAAGTCCCTCAGAGTGCTATTTAGGCCTCTCGCATTCGGGTTTCATGTGGGTTATCGTAAGGCTTATAAAAGCCTCAGCCACAGTAGAACCAAACATCAGCTCGGATGCAAAGGCCGCACACCTCATCCCTATACCCTCAAACTGCCCTTAAACATGGGTCATTGCCCCAAAAGTATGGGGTGGTGTCCCAGTCTTTTGGGTAGTTTGAAGGTTTAGGAATGCCCAAATGAACCCTCTATTTCCAGCTCATTGAGTCAACCCTAAGCTCATCGGTTCTCAGAAAGGCCCCTTGTCAAGGTCCGACACCTTCGAAAGGTCCGGTTCGGCCCCTTCAATGGAGGGTCCAATGCTTAGGGCACTAATTCTGTGCACCACCTAAGACACCCTGGAATGAATGATTGCCCTGGAAATACCAACAAACCATGGCTTCCCATGGTTTCAATTTGGTGCAGGACTTCGTCCATCCACAGTTACACAATTGATAGGGATTACGTCTCTGTCGATACCTACGCCAGGCTTCACTCAGTTGAGCCCTAGAAGTATAATACCAAACGCCCCCCCCCACCCTCACCCAGCAAAAAAAATGATGTCCCGGAGAGAAAAAAACAAAAAACATGTTTATTATTTCAGCTGACCCTGAAATGAACGAAAGCTGGTTGACAGGGCTACATTTTTTGACCACTACCCTGGGGTGGCACTTGATCCAGGGTGGTTCATTCCCCCCAAAAGCTTTTGGCAACCTTTTTTTTTGTCTATCTTGTAGTCCAAAAATGGAACCCTGGGCTTATAGATATGGCTGTGGCTCAACAAATGGAGCCCAAAATGGCACCAAAAGATAAATCAAACCACAGACTAAAGTCTGCGGTTTGCCCTAATTCTTTAACTTCAACTTTGAGCCACGCACCTGGGTTTTTCAGTCTATCCTGCACTCAAAAAGTCGAACTCTGGGTTGAGTGTTTGTTTCGTCCCGGAAAATCAACAAGTCATTAAAGCACCATGTTCATGAAATGTCAGTTGACCCTATAATTAAACTAAAGCTGGCTGTTATTTTTTCAACCAGCGGCTTTTCATTATTCCCCTCCCCCCCCAAAAGGGGAACGCCTGGCCTAAAGGAATGCTAAGTGCTTAGTAAACCCCGGCTAAACCAAGCATGGGTACCGCTCTGGGTTGATCGATTTTGTTCAAAGCGAGGCCAAGAGCACCTTGATGAACTTCCTCTTCGGCTGCGGCTTCGCCACCTCCGCTGGCCGCTGCACTCGAGGCAACGGAGACCCGCAACGGGATGGGTTCTTCCTTCTGGGTTCCCTGTGTTAGACCAATCCAAACCTTTGTTGCATTTTGCTTGGACGTTAGGACTTTAACTTTTTGCCAACTAATGGGTTTTCAATTAAACCACTAAAAGTTAAACTTTTAGCAGGGGAGCAGAAAGCAACCGTGAAACAAAACCCAAAACAAAAACAACAACACCCAGTTGGGTGAAAGTAGATGGCACAGGTCCACCATGTTGGTTTAGTTGTCTTGTTTTCTTACGCACTACCGCGTATTGTGGCATCTACTTTTACCCTGATGAAACTTGAGAGAAGCCAATGAAACTCAAGGTGATGCCAGTTCATCCGCTCCGTCGTTTGGTGAGTCTTAGAGGTAGAAGGTGATTGATGACAATCCGACATCAACTGATTCACAATCAAACCCCGGTATTAAAATGATTGACCCAGAACCATGTAAGGAAATACCAATGGCGGCCGCAACTATTTATGGCTGGGCTCGTCCCTTACTAACCTTCATCCACCCGGGTTTTGATTGTGACATCAACTCACGCAACTCCGGCCCTCGCAGGCCTCTATTGCTCCCTCATGGAGTGCGACGGGCGCACGCGGCTTTGCTGTGATAGCCCCCTAAAAAGAGCGATTGTTCGCAAAGGTCATTCCTTTTGTTTGAGATGTGTTTTTAACACATATAAGGATCCCCCCCAAAAAACGGCATGCCTTTTGTTTGAGATTGTTCTACCAGGATCACCCCCCAAGAAAGGGGACATGCCATTTGTTTGAGACTTTTTATGACCCCTTAAAAAGAGACAATCAACCACTGGGGTCCCAGATTCGGATGCCCTTTACACCCTCAAAAGTCGGAGTGGTCCTGTTGCCGTGGATGCCGTTTAGATGGTGAGATACACGCACCTCACATCCACACGCCCCCCACACCCACACCCGCCCGCAAGCACACGCGCACGCGCAGGCACAAGCACATGCGGGGAAGGCGCATGCGCACGCGAACGCAGGCACGCGCGCACATGCCCACATGCACACGCACACCCACGCACGAAAACGCGGACACTTGCCCACTCTCTTTTACACGCGCGCGCGCAATGACACACGCGCGACGCTCACACATACGCAGAGAGACGCGCAAACAAAGCGCCTGAGGCTGCTGATCTTAGACACCGAGGGCCTCATGAGCTTGGAGGCCCCGCCTTTTTGTATTGTAAGGGAAGCCACGGACACTATATGAGTTCCCCTATGAGACAACCCCCAAGAAACACTACGGGCTTCTTGGCAAAAACTGTAGCCCAGTTTCTGTGCCAAAAACCATCCTTTTCAGAGCGGAGTTTGGTTTCTGGGATGCTGCATAATATTTGCATGATTCATGGCGAGCTCATCTGGTGAAACGAGCGAAAGCCATGGCAAAGATCCTTTGCTTGGGGATCCCTTTTTTTCAGGGCTTGGAATATTGTACATAATCATGTGTGCTTACCATCAGCAATCGCTCGTATAATCTTCTGTAATCATGGAAGCTGGCAGCTTTTCTCTCCAAGCCCCTGTCCGATTGCATGTTTGGACTCGGGGAACTATGAACATGCGGCTGGGCTTGTTTGTGCCTCAACCAGATTCCATATTCTCCTGTGCAAGGGCGTTTTCGTGCCCCAACCATTGTGAATCCCTTTTGAGTTTCGCCTTGCTTTAATGCGGTATCAAGGGCTGTAGGGCAAATGTTAAGAGCACGAACCTCAGGAGAGCACAAGTCATGCTCTCAAGGTCGGCAGATGTGTTTGTAGCAGGGTCTTTTGGCACTATCTAACACGCATGCAGAGGTGGCTGCCATGGACCAGCCAGATCCAAGCGTTATTCATTTTGGCTGTGAGTTTTAATGGGATGGGCAGTTCAGCTCACAGGTCCGAAACAGCAACCCTTTCCAAGTGCGGAATTCTCGCAGGGTCAGCCAGGGTCACTGGGGTCAAACAAATGGGGGTTGATCAACAGGTCCTTTACATGGGATGACCATTGGTTTAAACATCGCTGAAAAGACAAGATTTCAACCACTATCTGGAAAACAGTGTTACGCATGGTCAAATCTGGGGGCCCTAAATAGAATATTGATCAACCTCAAATGATGCGATGCCTTTTGCATCCCCTAAGAAAAGGCGGCCCTGTTTGAGGCAGCCTGGAGCAACAGGTCCCCTAAGAAACTGGCCATTTGGGTGGCTTGTGTTTTTTAGGAATGGGATTCGGGTCCCCAATTGGCGCCTTTCGGTTTTGCTGTTGTTATTCCCTCTCCCAAACATAGCAACTCTGGGACCTGGTCTCTCTTGAGGCGTGGTTGAGAGGGCAAGTCAACTCACAAGAAAGGGGACACTCCAGAGCACCTCTCGGACCTAACCTGTCAGGTGTCAAGATGGAGAGTTTTTGGCACCAACTGGAAGATCCTTTCTTTTTTTTGAAGGGTCCTGTCAGGTGCCATGGACCCCAACTCACAGAGGAGCCACTCATTGGAAGAGCTTCCCACACGGCACGTGGCACGGAGCTAGGCGGAGGGCGGCGGCGTCTTCGACGCCCAGCTGGCGCTCATGGCCATGGCCTGCTCTCATTTGGCCCGAGGGCTAAGGTTGGGGTGGCTGGTGAGTCGGCTGGTAACACCTGAGCCACTTGGGTGTGGCTCAAAATTAAACAGGAGGGGTTACGCAGGTGTTGGTCCATGTTTCCACTTACCAAGGTTCCATTTTGGTATCGGTTTTTGAGCCACAGCCACTTGCTCAAAACCCGGGTAGATGAAGGGAAGCAAGTAGCCGGATTTTAAATTGGGGGCCCTTGAAATTTCGGTGCATGTTGCCAAGGGATGTTAGTACTTCAACTTCTTGCCAACTAATGGGTTTTCCGTATTAAACCCAGAAAAAGTTGTTCACTGTTAGCAGGGGAGCAGAGTTCGCAACCGAAGGTTGACCCCGGATTCACGAAGCCCGGCGCATTTCTAGGGGGCTCCCTGGGTGCGGTGACTAGGGTTCCTGGAAACTAAAGCTTGGCTTGGCGCTAGTTTTTTTGAGGGATCGGCTTAGGATTCTTTCTCATCAGGCCCTAGGGGGCCTGAAAGTGGTTTTCTCTTTTGGCATGTCACAGGTGTGTTGACCAACATTATCCTGTATGTCAAAGCGAGCTGCACCCTTTCAGCAAACGGTGTTCAGAGGCCGGACTAGTAGTTGGTATGCATGGCGGACTCGTGCTTAGAACGCTGGAAACCAGTCAGCGGCCTAATTATTCCAGCAGACCAAACAGCAATGCTCAGGACCCATTGCAACAAAACACCAAGCCTTGGGTCGGTTGTCAGGTGTGGCCATCGAGCAATGGGATCTGGATTGTCGCAAGCATAGTGAGGGTCCCGTGTTTGGCAATCCCTTCCCATGGTCGAATCTGCCCCACCATTGTCCAGCTTGATCTTAAGCAGCTGCCAGATGTTGGGAGTTGAACCGTTGTCACTGGCAAATCGAATTGCGAGTGCTTTAAGAACTTTTCTGGGCCTGTCGGTGAATCGCCCCGTAGCCCTTTTCAACATTAGTAGTTCCATGTTTCCTTGCACGAAAAAAAAAGAAAAAGCATGAAAATAGGGGACCCCCCCACCTCCCTCCGTGCGAAACGCACTTGCTTAGCCTAGCAATCTCTTGCCCACATTCGCGTTGTGTAAACTGGAAGCCTTTCCTACTGCTGATATAGGAGCCTCCATCTTGCTTTCCCGGAGCATTTTACTTCTCAGGATGCATTTGAGTCAGCTGGCCCTCCTGTTTTTGCAGCATTCACTCGAACCCCTTCTTGGTACAGTACATATCTCGGAGTAGCCAATGTGGCTTGATCATCAAGGCATCTGAGATTTGCATTTTAGGGAGGTGAAGTCTTTGTTTGGAAAGCTTTCTCAGCTCGCTCCGTGTTCCTTTTCTTTCTTTCCCAACTTTGAAGGTCCGTTCGAGCAATTTCTTCGCTCTTTGGGGGGTCAAACAGCAAGCAGCTTGGTTGGGATTTTGGGACCCCAAACTTGTGGTTTCCCTTCCCTTGAAAACCAACCAAAACAACGGTCCCTTAAAAAAGATGCGGCTGTCAACTTCCCTTTGCGTCAATGAGAAAATAAGTTTGAGCATGGCCCCAGTACAGAACCAACGGCTCAAAGACGCTCTTTCTCCCTGAACATCTTAAAATTAATACGGGTATAAATCAAAATTAAACCAACAGGGGCCTGCAGGTTTTAGTCCTTTCCACTTATCAGGATGCCGGTTTGAATGCTTCTTTTTTTGGCCCACACCCGTATGACTCACTTTCCTTGGCCAACCCTTTGAAAGGTTTCCCTCCCACAACCCATGTGCCTCCAAGCGGACAGTATTTTACTGGCATCCGGGAGATCAGGTTGATCTGTATGGCTTGCTCCTCGGCTTGAACATAAATGGTTCGACCGTGTCCTAAAGCTGTTTGCGTGCAAGCCCAAGCAGAGACTGTGTCAGGAAACTAAAGGGAAACCGCGCATTTTGGGCTCGGTGTCCCTTTTGACAGAAACCCTGGTGGTTGTCTGTTCAGTCTCAGGTCATCATCAATCACAAGGGCGAGCTTTCTCGGCAGCTCCAAGACTTGCTGGAGGCGCCTCTGGCGCAGTCCATGAAAAGTGGACTGGTCACAATGGGAAACCTGAGTCAAACCAAAAGGAACTTGGTATGTATCACAACTGAAGACAACAAGAAGTCCAGTGCCTGAAGCGCAATAGTGAACACCCAATTGAATATGAATTGGGATCTCTGTCCACCAACCACTTTTCAGGGGCTCCCTAATGCAACTCATAGCCAAGGTCTCTTGCTGTTGCGGACGTACAACGAGGACGTACATACCCCTCTCGTACGAGCTAGGGGTTCCATATCATAGGATGAAGGGTCCATTTAGCTTGTCCGGTGACACTTCCCGGAAGGGTTGGGTGGATTGGTCAAAACCAAGGCCCTTTTACCTGGAAACTGTCCATGAGTCATTTGGAGAGTCCAGACTCTGGTGCTCACAGACCTGAAGTTAGGCACATTTGAAGGCTGGTAGGCAGGGCGGGGTGTGGTTGGTTGGTTGGTTTTAGGTTGGTTTTGGTTTGGGTTGGTTTGGGTTGCTTGGTGGGAGCTTCAGTCAGGCTGGGTCTTGGAGTGGGGGATACATGCTGCGCCAGGCTCTTTTCAGACCCTAGCAACGGGATCGGAACCCCAGGTCCTCCCAGGAAGCTTGAGGTAGTGGTTCTACTTTTCCAGGCGATTTTGTTGAGCCAAAGCCGAATCGGAGAGTTGAAGATTGGACTTCCCCTTTCTTTTTTGGTGTCCTGTTTGGCAAACCCAAGGAACCAGCACCATTTGGGGGGGGGGGGGGTAAAATACCAAATGAAAATAGACGCTCCAAATAGCTCGTTAAGATTGTTTGCCAAGGTGGACCCATTTTGGCCCACATTTGCGCCCTTGTTGTTGAGGCTCCCAAACTCGGCCTGTGGGTGTTTGGAACAGCCCAACCTGGCTTTGAATAGTTTTTGCCTTGCCCCGTCGTTTTTTTTTTTTTTGAGGGGTCCCTTGGTACCTTCTAGGGAGGTAGACCCTTCAGGAAACCATCAAAAACCAGGGGAAACAGCCGGTTTTTGAAAAGAACGATGCTTGAAAAGAATAGGGAATCAACCCCTAGATTTGTACCAGGATCCATCAGGAGGTACCCTGTTGGACCCTCTATGTTCGGTAAGCCGAGTCGCCTTCTCCTGTTTTTTTTGTCAGGTCTGCTTGTTCGCCATGCAGCACCTGAAGGCTTCGATTCGGGATTCGGGTCAATCAACGAAATGGGGGAGGGGGGGAGTTCCCTTTTGGTTTTCCTTTGAAACCATCACTAGGTCCCCCAGTCGGGCCCTTCTACCGTTTCTTTGTTGGGGGGTTCCCCTACTAAAATAGAAAGAAGGGTACCCTTATTCTAACCTCTCTACTGGAGGACCTAGATCAAGAACTTGCTGGTTCTCAGCAGGGAATGAGTTGGGAATGACCCCTATAAACCATCTCCTTTGAAAAATCCCTAGGTTTATTCCCAACACCCTGCATACCCTCAAGAAAGACACACCAATCACACATTTTCGCAGGTTCCGTGAGACAAACCCTGGAATTCGAGCAGCATAGATATGGGAATGAACAGCAGGCCTTTTTGTTGGGAGAAGGGGACCTGTATATCCAAATTTGATCTTTGCGCAGCGACCTTCTGTTTGGAGGGCAGCTTTTTTAGGGGTGGACTTTTTATTGGGAGGGTTTGAGACAATGTTTAAGCGGTAAGATGTGCCCGGCTCACCTTCTTGCCATGGGCCTGGAGTCGAATGACCTATATGTCAATGGAAGACGCCCCACGGTTTGAAGTACCACGGCCTTTTGGGCAGTACTTGGGAGTTTGAACATGGGACATAGCAGTAGGGTGCTGCTGCTGTTCTATCTTGCGATGATTGAAACATGTTTGTGGAAAGACGTGCGAACCTCGGTGATGAATCACGTGTTCATCCAGTCAGACTTTGGGCGGCAATCGGATATAGTGCAAAAGCCAAGGATTTTGGCTTTGACAAATACAAAGGCATGTGTCGCACCAGTTCAGATGGCCATGCCTTCGTACGTTTCCCATGCCACGGTGGCTGTCAGGTCTGCCGGATTCAGCCCAAGCTGCTCTTTGTCCTCCGCGATCAGCATGATAGGCGCGGCAACTTGTGGCCATGCGGCAAGACCAACTCCCCGGGGTTCAATAAGACTGGTTCCTTTCGTGGGGTTGACAGGGATGGTTCTTCACATGGCAAGGATCCTGAATGACCGTTAAAACAGTATTCAACTGCGGGAGCCATGACCAACTCGGCAATCTGAGTTTTGACCATGGCTCATATATGGCTGTGCGCGTTTTTGAGGGTGCCCTTTCAAGGTCCTAGTTTCCCGGCCGTCTCAGCCTCTTCTTGAGGCCAGCAGCTGCCCCCTTCTGGGCCACTTTGGACCTATGGGAATCCCAATGGCGAGAATTGCCTCCAAATCCAAAAGGTTGTGTCCTAAAAGCGACACCATTGCCACGAACATGCTAACGTCGCCGGACAGAGGCGGACCGCCAAGGAAGTTGATCTTCCGTGCTATGTTGGGGTACCGAACGAAATCACTTGATCCTGCCGCCCATTTTGACGTCCAGCATCCCTCAACTGCAGTTTCCCATGAGCAGTGGTTGGGACCCGGGTGCTACGTCCCCTCATGGCACCTGACTGGCCTAGCCACTAACAGTGAGGTGGTTGATCAACCATTCTTTTGACCCGCTGCCATGTGGTTTTTGCCCACACCAGAAACCGGCCCAAGGTAAAACCTATGTTTGTTTCTTCGAGTCAGGAGCCTGACACCGCCCCCCTACCTCACCCCTTCCCCCCCCCCCGACTCCCCCACCTCCCCCCGCTGGAGGTCCCAAGGGGTGCACGGCGACGCGCTGCGGCTCATGCGGAAGCACCTGGCGGAGGCCTCCATGTCGCTGTCCCTGCGCCGCTCGGATCCGACGGCCCCGACTGGAACCGAGGCGACTGGTTTGGCGGGTGTTGAGAAGCCCGGTTTCTGTGGTGATGGAAAATCATACCCTAGCGCAAGCTGGTATTTGGAAGGTGTTCAGATGGATTGAAATGGATGGATCCGCAGTCTGGTTCTAGTCATTCACCAGTTGATTCTGTCTATTTTTTTTGCAAACAACGCAGGCAAGCAGACAGGATAACAAACACCGAAGCCACCTTGCATTGCCGGACTTTGCTTGCCTTTCTAACTTCCTGGATTGCCAGTTGCTATTTTTTGTAGCAGCTGTGACTGATTTTAGGGCAAGCGTCTAGAAACAAAGTGATAAGCAGCAACTTGGCAATCCAGGTGTTGCCTGTCTTCCATTTGCTCAAGGAGATGTGTAAATGATCTCCCTGGTTTTCAAGGGAATCTATCACTACTAGACATATTTTTGTAGATGGATCCATATGGCCCAACCCCCAAAGATGCGACTTTGGTGACCTTGGGGTCCAAAATCGGTTGCTGAGTTAGTACAGTGAAATAGGCGTGTCATTGTTTGGGAGTACCCCCAAACTGGGCTTCGGCTGTCCTTCAGGTTTCACCCTCGAAAACCGCCCCAAAAGGATTCGAAGCTGAGAAAGACACACTCGGATCAGCCAAAGAAAGGCTGCCAATCATCTTGTCCAGTGGAGATCCGACTTCTGATTGTCCATGGTAAGTTGTAAGCCCAAGCCTGTGGCACAAGAAGCCCCCTCAATTGCCCACTGCCATGATTGGAGGGTGGGTAATTACCCTGAAAAAAGAGCCAGACCCAGTTGTTTCCCTTGGTTTTGACCCCTCAAAACGACCCATTTGTCTCCCTTGGCTTTGGGGAAAACGGTAGTTGTCCTTTTGGCGTCCCTTTAAAAGAATACCAACTCCAAACGACCGACCCCCCCGAGGTCTGGAGGAGCTCATCTCACTGGACCCTGGCAGCCCGGGGCCCCAACTTCCAGTTGCTGACATGAATATGATCTTTAGTTTGCTTGCTTCCATTCAGGAAAACAAGGCTTGCTTCCAGTTGCTGAAATGTTTATTATTATTATGATTCTTCCCCTTGCTGGTTTTAAAAGGAATTTAGCACTACCTGGAAACAGTTGTTATTTTTTTCCAGGGGTCTTAACCAAATGGAAGACAAGAACTTTCGAACCGCCCAAGAGCCGTCAGGAGTACTTGGACCCTTTTAGGGATTGTACCTAACATAAACCTTGTACCCCCCCAAAAGCCATCAGAAGGAAGTACTTGGAGCCTCTTTGGGGATGTGTCCCGCATCGCCTCCTAATGAGGCCAATTCGGGGTCCGCAGGCCGTCGGTTTTGCATGTTTGCATTAGAGGGATCTTGACCGGGATGATTTTCGGATGTGTGAGACAAATCCAGGGGAACCCACGGAATATGTGTAGTTTCGGCTCCCCGCAGCTGATGAGGGGTTGTGGTGACTGAATCGGCCCGACCTTCTGGAAACAAATGACTTGCCCATTGAAGCTTCAATGATCTCAAGAGGTTAGGCCTTTTGCGGGAGAAGAGAAACCTCAGCTTTCACGTAACCATAGCAAGTCACTGAATCTGACGAGCTTTCACAACCATCATCCTTAGCAAGTCACATCAGCCGCACGCACTCCCGAAGGAAGACACATGCTACAAACGGAGGGGATTGGACAAGAGGGCTGGCACTTCTCTGAAAGGATGGGGATCCACCCTTCGCAAGCAATTCGGATGGCTCGGAAGTGGCACTGGAGTACTTGTCATGTACTGAGGGCGGCCAAATAGAAGCCCCTTTTCTGGGGAAACGTGTCCTAGGGGTTGACTTCCCGTTCTTATTCAACCAATCAAAGGACAGGTTTGGGTAGACTCCCCGGATATCCGGTTTAGGGGCAAAGCAATTGCTATATTAGCAGGTAGCCGGCCCATGATTCTCATCTTTCAGGAACCAAGCTCGCTTCCCAAAGAAAGGAACCAGAGACCAATCTCACGCAGGGTTGTGGGATCAAGGGGTTTCTCCAACCACTTCTGTGATACTCTTGGGAGTCCCTCTTTATATGAACAAAATAGTCTTTGGGAAGCCCTTTGTTGTATCACAGAAGTGGTCATTCCCCACAGCCCTGATCTCACGCTTTTTACAACTTCAGCCTCCCAATTCACGGTTCCACCCCACCTATTTCAGGGTTCCGGCAGTCTGTTCCACAGTTCCGCCCTCTATTGTGTCTCTTTTTTAGTGGTTCCGGGAACTACCGGCCAATATAGTAGGTACCCGTGGTTCTAAAGTACCCCATGGCCAAACTTTCACGATTCTCTTGATGGGAATCTTCTGTTGATCCCTGCAGTTCTCCAAGCAATTATCTACAGGAACATCTGCCGGAAATTCTTTCCTGGGGGTTGGGTGACTGGGTTGTCCTTTTTGTTGAGGATACCCCGTTGTTGTGGTTTGGCAGGGCAACCACCACGACAATCCCCATTTTTGGAGAGGCCCGAAAAGCCTTGCTGGTTCTCAGCAGCAAATGAGGGAATGGTCCGTGCACATCCTTTGTTCGGGAATCTCCAGGTTCATTCTCAAAGCCCTCACTCTGTCATCGCGCTAGGAAAAAAGACGAGCCGCCCATTTCCTCGAGACATTTTCACCTGTAGCTTAGCTCTAGCAAAGACTGGAAACGGCCCAATTTGGATGACAACCCTTAGGCAAAACAATGGTTCTATGAACCCAACCATTGTTTTAAGGGTGGCAGCAACCTAATTCCAGGGTATTCATTGTCAGTGGAAGAAATGCCTGGGACCCCATTGATTCAATGGTGGCCTGAACAAGGGCGAAGCTCAGGCGTCTTCCTGCTGCCTTCCGCCTTCGCCAGCGACTTGGAGCCTCACACGGGACGGGAGGCCAGGCGGAACCGCCAGGCAGTTGGCTCTTCCCATGGGCCGAAAAGCCCATGTGGGTGGCTTCCCCTCTGCTTGAAACACGCCCATGGGTTTGAGAAAAATAACTGACACCACCCACTTAGTTCAGGTTGCCAGCACAATTTTTGTCAGACAAAAACACTGGCCAACACGAAGTCCGCGAATTTTCAAACCAGGTTCTGCGTTCTGCGTGGTGCCCAAAATCTTTTTGGCCATGGGTCAAAACCCTGTACCCACAGTGAACATCCCAATCCCCACTAAAATAGACTAAAATGGGTGGTGCACCTATCAAACAATGGTACCATTGGTTTTGACCCACAGCAATCTTGACACCCGCTTCTGGGCTGGACAGCGAATTGAGGGTTTGACCTTGTGCAAGTTGTGCAAGTGGGAACCCAGGTTGGAGCGGATGTGCCCTTGCCCGTTTAATTTTCTCAGGCCGAGAAGTTCGCAGCCATGCCGTTTCTTTTCCTCCAGAACCCACCGAGATGCATACCCCTTGTCCAGGTCAAAATTATGGACCTCGGGTTGGACTTTTCCAAGCACTAAATGTTAAAAACAAAGAGATCCATTTGGCCTATTGACCACCTAGCAAAGATGCGTTTCTTTCCAGTGAGGGTACCCCTTTCAGTTTGTGCGTAGGGAAGCCAACAGGCAATCACCGGTTTTGTGGGGATACCCTGGAAAAGTCTCCCAGTTCTCGTCGCAGTTGGTTTCCACTGCGAGGCTTCGAACCCTTCAACTGGAGAACTGTTTCTCCCCTTAAAGGCCAGCCCTTTACTCTGAATCGTCATCCAGTCCCACCCACGGGTGCGCGACACTGCGTTTGGGAATCAACCAAACGGGATCACAGAAACAGGCAGTCGATGAACCGCCAACCCAAGCCAACCAATCTTCCCACGGTAGTCAAGCTCTCTTGCCGGCCCGTGCCCCTTGTAGACCTCGTTGAAACATATTCTTGGCTGGGCCAGAAGTGGAGGCTTACAGAAAGGAAAGGAAAGGAAAGGAAAGGAATGGGTGTTCAAAAGACCAAAGGAAAATAGCTTCTTCTTTCTTTTTGGGGGGGGGGGGCGCCGGGGGTCCTATTTTAAGAGGGGGTGAAATTGAGGGAAACCAAGAGGAAACTGAACCCGTGGGTGCCATCGATTTTGAGAACCACCCCTTCTGGTCGCCAGCACTTGCAGCCACCCCTGTTACAGGACACCCTTGTGTAGTGACTCAAGCCAGGGAAAAAGGGAGTGGAAGATGCCAGCCTTTGCTTTCCAGGATGGTATCTGTTCACCTGGAGTCCTGGCACATGTTTCGCTGGAGAAGTTTGGGTATGCCTTCAATCGGAAAAGTTGATACGTCCATGTGACTTGGTCAGTTGTGTCTAAAGGGCCCCCCCCAAACAAAAAGAAAAATGAAAACAACAACAAGCATATTTGGTCTTTTCAACACCCTTTCCTTTCTGCGAGTCTCAGTCCATGTGACACGGTCCGCCGTGTTTTTCCGAGGGCCCAAGCCGCGGATTCGCCGCGGATGCGCCGCGGATTCGGATGCGCCAGGTGCGGTGGTCCACGGAGCTCTTCGCCCAGGAGGCCCTGAAGCTGCGCCGGAAGATCTTCAAAGAGGCGGGGGGCGGCCGATGGTTCGACTTTTTCGACTTTTTTCGAGTTCCCAAAAGGAGCCGAGCTGGGGGGGTGGGACGTGTTTCTCGTGTTTTTTTCTCCATGGTTTTTTTGTTGGCGTTGCTTTGTTTTTTGTTGTTGTTTTTTCTTTTTTTTCCCATGGGGCGCGCAGGGGGCCGATTTCCTTCCAAGGGTAGCTTCCATGTCCATTCTTTCCAGGGATCTGTTTTTTTCTAGAAAACCACCCAGAAACCCTGAAGGAAAAACAGCTGGTGTGGCACTTCAAAGAGGCCGATGATCAGAGTGGTTTTTTGTTTCCCCCGATTTCTCCCGGCCGAGTGCCGACTTTTGGTTGTGTCTTTTTGCATAAATTCCCACGGGGTTCAGAGGTGGAGTCTTTTTGCATGGATGTGTGTCTCTTTATTTGTTTAAAAGGTTGGACCCCTCCCCCTCAAATTCAAAAGGTTCTGATTTTGGGTGTGTTCTTCTTCATGGGTGCCAAAGCCTTAGGTGTGTCCTTTGCTATAGCTTTGGGTGTGAATTTTCATGGGTCCGCGTTCTTTGAGGGGAAGGATGGGTTCGCCATTCGAGCGCCCAAATGTTGGGGTCATTGGAGGGGTCGTGACTTACCAATTTCATGGTTGAGAGCAACTCGTTCATCAAGTTCGGGGCTTGATTGTCTTAGCTTAGGGTCCCTTTGCATGACGTTTCATTAGAAATGTTCGGTACACTGCGGTACACTCATAAATGTGAATCCAGCCATGTGTATGATGCCCACCCATGGTTCACATTCAAAGTAGGCATGGAGGAGGGAGGATTGACACCCTCTGGATAAGATGTTATTTGAGTTTCCCTTGCTTGTTGTGTGTTGGCCGATGTTATTGGGCCCTCCAAAAACGAGGGGTCTTCAGGAAAACACTAATTTGGGCGGCGAAACCCTTATTTGGTTTCTGCGATAGTGATTGAACTGTTCTTGGGCGCTCTTTCAAACGAAAAGAGCGTTAACTTGTAATGCGGAGAGGGACCGCGATCGTTCTTCAGCTTCTTGTCTTGAGGGCATCCCCCGAACCACTGACCCCCAAATGAGCCCAAATGGGTCCTATAAGTACCCAAGTTGTGTTAGCGACCTATGAGTCAAGCTCTACAAACTCAACCAGAGCGGCTAGTCCACCCAAATGGCTTGGATTTTTCTTTTGGCTTCCCATTGAAGATGCGGTACCCTCCAAGCAAGACACGCCCGCAAAGATGTTTTTTTTTGTTTTTTTGTGGAGGCTTGACAAATCGCGACACTTTCTTGGCGACCTGGGGAGGTACCAAAGGAACCCTCAGTCCGGGCTTCCTCCATTTCCCTATTTCGGGACCTCCGACAGCGGGCATTTTCACTAGAAGCCCCCAGATGGAGTCAAGTGGCGGTCCTTTCTAGGACGGCCTATGGTGCCGATTCCTGAACGATATCCGCCCCGTAGGAAGCGCCCCCTCCTCTCCGGACTCGGATCCGACCGATCAAAGAGCGGAGGCGGAGAACCACTCCTGTGGAGAGGCCCCGGAGTTCTCCACCTTGCCGGACTGGTGGGCGCCTCAGCGCCTCAGCGCCTCAGCGCCATTGCACCTCTGAGCTGGGGTTTATGCCTCCTTTTGCGCAGGGCTCCTTAAAATAAATTCATTTTGCAACCACTTGAAACATGTGGCTTATTCCTGCAAACTGAAGGGAAACCACCATTTACAAGGCAATGTTTGGGTGTATAATGTAAGTATCCCTGTTTTGGCTACATATCTCGTATTTGATAAGACATATGGCTGGTTTCCTTTTGGCTTCCCTTTGAATGCTACAAAGGGGATCCATGATTTTGGGAACTTAGATAGTTCGGCGGCAGGGGCACGCCCGCAGGAGCTACCTGAAGGACTCCGAATGCGACCGCGTCAGTACTTGATCACTACCCAGCGCTTATCCAGGGGAAACAATTGGAGTTTGATTTTGATAAGAGGGTCTGGGATCAGATGGACAGCGGCTATTTGTTTATCCCCTTTTGTTTGGTCGTCTGTCAGGCCACACATTGGCTTGGCTTTCGCTTGGGGAAACCATGATGTAAAAAACCTAGAGGTAGCCATGCCTGGGTTGCCTGCTAGAGTGGCAACAGGAAACACTGGGCAACCCTGCCGTCAGCACAAATAATTCGTTTGGGGGTGCGGGACCCTGCCACCAATTGACATGAAACCTGACAGGGGCTCGCTTTAACAGCAACATGGTCTTCCAGGACCCCGGTCAGGTTCCATGTTACTGTACTTGGTGGAAGGGTAATTACTTGGATTGCAGTAGCTGGCTGGTCGGAGAGGGCCACAAGTTTCCCAGCCGCTCAGGTGCTTGCACGCCATGTCGGTGTGGCGTGTCCTGGATCGATACGGCCGCCTGCTCAGTTGGGGGGCACGCGCATCACGCGAATCCCGGTGAGGCTTGCAAAGCGTTTTGGAGAAGGGGACATGGTTGTTGTTGGGAAACATTTTACATTTTTGCTTATTGTGGTTTAGTGAGAAATCCCCACTTAAGTGCTAAAATTTAAGTTTTTGCTCCCCTTCCAACGTCAACCAAGGCATGCCCACAAGTATCCAAGTCCTACCAAAAAGGAGCCGAACTTCACTTCAGTGAGCTGGCTGACCAGGGATGCGTGGATGCACAAAGGAGCAAAGGATGGCGGCTTTTCATTGCACTAGCAAACAAGCAAATGAGCAAGCAGAAGGTTTGCAAGCAGGCAATGGAACTTTACGGGTTTTGAGAGGTTTCGGCTAGGGGATGGTTGCCAGCTTGCATGGCCTCAAGGCAATCTTATCGCCAGGGCATTGCCCTTTTCCTATTTCTCTGTGCAATCCAAACTTTACGCGTAACTGCTGGCACTACTTGCCGGGCCTTTCGTTGGGAAGTTCCATTCACAAGCAAGTGGGCTCAAGTCAGGTTGCCCCATCGTGGCTTCCCTCTGACCTCGCTATCCACTCAAGCATTTTCCACAAGAATCTCCGCTTCGTCACGAAAACCCTTGCTACTTTTTGGGAGGTACCTGGGGACCCGCTCTCCCACTCTGGGCTTCATGTAGGTCCCAACTTGCTGCACTACAAAACCATCCAAGAGATCGAGATGCAGCGAGAGCTCGAGGAGAAGCTCGCCGAAGTGAGTTGCTCGAATCGAACGCCCTCTGGCCTTGGGGAATTTGAGGTAAGTCCTCAATAACCGTTAAACAGTAGCCGTATGCCAGCGACCCGTTGCCAGTTTTCCAACCATCAGTCAACTGCAGCCGGGGAAATTCAGTGACCCAAGTTCAGCGATCCATTTTTTTCACCCAGCCGAAAGGAGACAAACCATCCGAAAAACGTCCCGTGACCCGTGCTTAATCTTGGACCTAACTTCGACGCCAGGAGTCGGCCAAGCAGATCTCCGCACAGCTGGTGCGGGGCAAGGGCGGCCTGGCGGAGGAGTGCCAGGCGCGAATCCCCGCGAGCCCAGGTCAAAGCGACCGAAAAGATCTTCCATTTGCTGAAATGGGTATGGGTCAAAATTACACCACCAGGGGACCGCCGGTTTTAGTCCTTGGTTCCATTTGCCAGGGTTCCATTTTGGGTACCTAATTTTGACCCACAGCCAAATATTTTCTCAGTTGTTCGGTGGCACCTATTATTTTTCCTCTTTTTTTCCGGTGGCTGCCCCACTACAATTGGTCTTCCCCAAAAAGGGTTCCCTTTTTTTCCCATGGTCACTAAACTACTGAGTTTTTGTATTTTCCCTTGTTGGCTTTAAAAGGAATGCATCACTACTGGATTTGGATTTGTTTTCCAGGGGTCTTAACTAAATGGAAGATCTCACCTGTGGGTTTCCCGGTGGAAGGGGACCTTCGAAGGGGTGGGTTACAGGAAGTTCTACAGGAAAGCAGCTTATGTACTAGGGCTCCTTAAAAGAAATTTATTTTGCAACCAATTGAAATATGGCTTTTTCAACACCATTTACAAGGCAATGTTCAGGTGTATAATGTAAGGATCCTTGTGCACGGCGTTTTGGGGCCATTTCCTGTGAATTGTCCTATAGCCAAACCCTTTGGGACATGCTGTGGACATGAACTATTTTAGGGGGTTCATCTGACTAGCGTGCTCCTCCGGATGTATCTGAGATTTTCTGTCTATACATAATGCTGGCAGAATACATTTCGCACCACCGTTCAGAAATCGATTCCCCAACGTAAATTCCAACAAACGAACGGAGCATGATTTTGTCCATCCACATTATTTTGAAAGCGGTTAATCTTTTTTACAGGTCAACTGAGCTTTACTTGCACCCCCCCCCCCCACACTTTTCCGCTTTGTCAACCATGTCCAAAGTCCCAAGGTCCAAAAAGCAGTTGGGAGGGTTGCTGGTTGGGGATCCGACTGGAATTGGTTCGGAGGTTCTCCATTGCAGGGTTTGGGATCTGCATTGGAGGGGTCATGACCTTTAGTGTGGAACTAATATTACTTTGTTTGCAGATTAGTTAGAACCTCTCCATGCCTCTAGACAATAAAGTTCCCCACAGCATCATTTTGTCGATGTCTGAGACGAAAGGTGTGACGTATCGTGCAAGGCGTGGGTCCCACGCAAATGAATTGGCATGGAACCGCGGCAAAGGGCGCAAAAGGAGAATATTGTTGGGTTTGTTTCATGTGAATCTGTAGGGAAGCCCCTTGTTAGAAAAGCACAAACAGCGCAAGATGTTTCAGGGTACCTTTCGGGTCATGACCCCTCCAACGCAGACCCCAGGACCCTCCAATGCAGAACCCCAACTTTTCAAGGGCAAACCACTTTAAGTAGATCATAATAACCATGGAGATAAGTGGGGTATCCTTGGTTAGTCCCCTTTCCCTGGCTATATCCTGCATTTGTAGTTCAATTGTCTCGGCTATAACATGTTCCAACCACCCAAGTAACCCCATTTCAATTGTTTAGGCTGTCTTATTATTATTGTTATCGTCATTGTTATTAATACATTTTGTGTGTAGTTGTTTCTCGTTCCCATGTTGTGTATGTTTGTGTTGATTGTATTGTTCATCCATTATTGTGTTATTTTGTTTTATAGACTATTAGTAGCAGATGTAGTTTACCTATTATATGCTCTTAGTAAGAGTAGTAGCAGTAGTAGTAGTAGTAGTCGTAGTAGTAGTCGTAGTAGTAGTAGTAGCACTAGTAGTTGTAGTAGTCGTAGTATTTGTAGTAGTAGTAGCAGTAGCAGTAGCAGTAGCAGTAGCAGTAGCAGTAGCAGTAGTAGTAGTAGTAGTAGTAGTAGTTGAATGTGTCGGTTGTTGTTTAATATATTGTCTTGATTTATCCATTTGCGTTTTTGTGTTATTCACGTTTGTTGTTTGTCATTTATGTATTGTTCATGGTATTCGATATGTATCTTTGTTATTTGGTTATGTATGTGTTCATAGTTTATGTTCTTATCATTATGGTTTTACTAATGTTAGTTGTTAGTATTATTCGTAGTGGTAGTAGTGGAAGTGATTGTAGTGGTAGTAATAGTGATAGTGATAGTGGTACTGGTGCTGGTGCTGGTGCTGGTGGTGGTGGTGGTGGTGCTGGTGGTGGTGGTGGTGGTGGTGGTGGTGGTGCTGGTGGTGGTGGTGGTAGTGTTATTCTTTCCCCCTCCACATACCATCTCTTTTAGGGTATGACGTCAACTGACTAACAAGGATGGTCTTCCCTCCTTCTGGACCTCTGGCATGGAACTCAGAGGGTCCCTTTTCCAGAAAAATGGTGCAGGACCCCGAAACGTCAGGTTCCATGGCAACGTGGATGGGTAACCCCTCCAAAAAAAACAGAAGGGCCGCTCAGTACCGCGTTTTTTCACCGTTTGTTTATTGCACATCGCATCCCCACCGGCCTCTCTCTCCCCACAAACGTCGCCTTGCGGCGTTTTTTGGATTCGCTTCGGGAGAGAGGCGCTGCTGGCCACCTTTAAGAAGCGCCTCAGCGAGGAGAGTGGGGACAAGGTGGACAGCGAGTTCAGGCGGGCGGGGGCTTGCAGTGCGGTTTCCGCGCGCATCGAGTTGGGGATCTGGTTTTTCTTGGGAGTATTTTTTGACCCCATATGAAGCAACCAACCCCATTTTATGAATAGGGAGTGGATGTTGGCTATTGTTGACCCCATGTGAATCAACCAGTATATTTTTATTGGAGGGTGGTTTTTGGCCCCTCCAACAGTGGCCTGGTTCCAACCGCTAAACCCAGGACACCCCCCGTTCGTTGGCAAGTCAGGGTTTGGGGTTCCATGTTCCGCGGAAAAATGGTTCTCAAGGTAAATGTTGGTGGTCTAAAAAGGAAACCAGTAGTAAAGCCGCAGTTTTGAGAGTTTCCAAAAGGACACCCCAATACCCCGAATTCTAGCAGGGCCAAAGACTTGAGCCCATCGGATCCATCGCTCTGCCTGGAGGCCTCGATTGGACCAGCCAAAACAAAGAACCGCAGCCAAGCACCAAATGGGTATTACGGTATGGGTCAAAATCAAAGCACCGGGAATTGAACTGCAGGTTTTGGTCCATGTTTCCATTTGGGGTTCCATTTGGGGGATTCCGATTTTTGACAACCACAGCCAAAATGACCAACAACCACCAAGCCCAAACCTCGGCAAGCAAGCAGCCAAACGACCAGCCGACCAAGCAAACAACCAAGCAACCACAACAGCAACACAACCCATGGCGGTTTCGGCATAAACTAAGAGACAAGAGCATCCTGATTTTGTGCCTGCCTGGGTGTGCCTTTCGTTCCTGTTCTGTCGCTTCAGAGGAAAGCCAATTGGGCAGCCCACCATTTTGGGGGGGGAGGGGTCCGATTCCCCCCCCCAAAAAAAAAAGAAAAGAGAAAAAAGCCAACAAGCCAAGAAAGCAAACAAACAAACAAAAAAAGACAGGCCCCCCGGGGGTTGCGTCTCCTTGGGTATGTTTTGGCCCGAGCGACTCAAGCCGCGGAAGGTCTTCCCTGCAAGCGATCCTCGAGAGCTTCGACAAGCGCGCCAAAGCGGAGCTGGAGCGCACGCTCAAGGCGCGAGTTTTTTTATTGGCAAGGGGCCAAAGCAGGGTTGTGGGATCAAGGGGTTTCTCCAACCACTTCTGTGATACAAGGGAATCCCCCTTTATATGCACAAAATAGTCTTTGGGAAGCCCTTTCTGTTGTATCACAGAAGTGGTCATTCCCCACAGCCCTGGGCCAAAGGGAATTGGGGGGGGGGGGGGCGAGTGTTTGAGGGGCGCCATAAAGGATACCCTTATTCTAACCTCTAGAGGACCAAGTTGGGGATATGGGTCAAAATGAATCACCAGGAATTGGATTGATAATACACCCCCATTTATTGTAGGGGTGTCCCTGGTTTTAGCTTGTTTCTGGCAGGCATGAATCTCTCAAACGAACAAAACCACCAGGCCCTCAGCGAGTTTTGGTTCCGGCCCGCGGGAATCCACAAAAAGTACACCAAGGCTTTGGTGCATTTTGCCAAGGGATGTTAGGACTGAACACCTTTTTGCCAAATGGGTTTTCCGTATCAAGCCACTAAAAGTCAAACGTTTAGCAGGGGAGCAGAAAGCAACCGAGAAGGAGCCGCCAAACTATAGGAATTCGAAACGATTCACAGCGGAGCCTTCACCTGGAAAATCCCGAGAAAGGTCTTTGAATTTCTGTACGCTTCGCATGTGACTTGCCTCGCAGGCTTTCTATTGTGGCGAGAGCTTTCACCATTTGGTTTTAAGAAACCTCTTGCGAGGTAAAACAGGGGGGGGTGATCAAAAGGTCCTTGACCATTGGGGAGGGAACACCACGAAAAAGATGAGATATCTCAACCACATGGGCAAAGTTTTGCCCAAAAGCTGGGGGCCCCGAAATGGCAGATAAACCAGGTCCAGTAGTGCACTTGTACCCTTTTTTGGGAGAGGGTTCCCCTACTCAAATAGACTACAGAAAAAAGGGTACCCTTCTTCTAACCTCTCTACTGGAGGACCTGGTTAAGATCACCCCGCCAAAAAAAAGCACAAAAAAAGCCGAGCTCCAGCTTGGAGGCCAGACGCTCCAAGCTGCCTGAAGCGCAGAAGGAGAGATGCCCGGACGGTGCTGCTTCTGTTGGGGGCAGTGGGGGGGAATCCATTGCGACCCGTGTCGGCGAACTCGGGAGCGCTGATTTGGGGTTAGGCGATTTATTCTATTTATCTCATGCTCTCTGGACATGCTTGTGGACAGCCGGGTTTGGGGTTACCACAGTGATACCGAGATGATTTGCAGGAGTCACTCACCTTGACATGACTTGATCATTTTCTTTTTTCCCGAGGTCAACAAGAACGAGGTCTTTGTCAGCTGGTCCTCTTTCATGTTTTTTTTTGAAGGGCGACATGGGTCAACGGCTTGGGGTCCTTCGCGGAGACCTTTGGAAGATCTTTCCGGGTTGACTCGGGGAAGCCTTGTGTGAGATGCTTGGGGCAACCTGCGGTGGTTTTCTGCATGGCTTTCCAGAAGCCATCTCTGTTTGCCAGCTGGTTTCTCTCAACCCTTGGTTTTGTTCAGTGGCTCAAAGCGATGGAACGCGCTGGCGGCTTGCAGAGATCAGACATTCGATGTGAAGAGCCAGCCTTTGGGATGTCATTGGGATTTTTAGAGTGTTGGGAAGGTAACAGTGCTGTTACCCTAGATGGAAGGAGCACCCATTGCATAAGCGGATCCAACTTTAGAGCACACACCTTCAGGCCTGTACTTCCTTTGAGTTTAGGCCTTGGAGTCTGTTTCCTCCAGGGTGGGGATGTCTTGAAATTGGACGTGACGCACCTTTCATCTCCAGGTCCGTTGGTTGAAGTTGCGTGTGTCTGAGCGCAACAGGAGGAGGCAAAGAAGAAGCTATCAACTCCTATCGAGTACCAGGACTGGCAAGGGGCATAGGGCGGTGTTCCTTGTGACGCGCGTGTGCCTGAGCCCGAAAAAGACCATCCCCACTGGTTCGTTCCCGAAACCGGTGGTTGAGGGGTTGTTGGCAACCCTCTTGTTTCAACATCTTTAAGTTGCTGTTTCTCGGCAGGGAATAAGGGAATGACCCCTACAAGCCACCCCCTATAGTTTCCTTTAAGTGAATGCCCCAAGCGGTTCATTCCCAAGACCCGGACTCGGTTTTTCCCTACCAATCGCACCAAGTTAAGTCACTGTTGAAACAACCTCTTGGCTTTTCAAAGGGGCCGGGATTTGGCCTTTGTATGTTTCACAGGGGTCATTGCGAGAATGTCACTGCAACACAAATGCATCAATATATTTGATATGTATACAACATATACAATATGTTCAATATAGTTTTGGTAATATATATATATATATATACATGTGTGTGTGCATATGTATATTTAACATGTGTCCCCACCCTGTACAAGTTTCTTCTCAATGAATGGGTTACTTGCGAGCTCCATGGGTTTGGTCCAAGTTTTGCTGGCACTGTCTCGCACAGCCCACGTGGGGGCTGAACATTGCTCATTGACCGAAAGGGACATTGCTGGTTCATCCGAATGTGGGTGAGGTTTTGCTTTTTCCGGACACCACCCTTGAAGGGTGCCGAGAAAAGTGGCGCGATTCGCGGAAACGCCTTCGTGGCGCTCGCGCGCGCGCGCGTTTGCGTGCGTTTGCGCCAGGGGGAGCTGACGCGGTACACCTGGTCTCTGTGCCTGGCCGATGCGGTGGACCGAGACCAGCTGAGAGCGCTGAAGGTGCACTTCAAGAATACCATCGAGCAGCTGTGGCAGGCGCCGTGGGGTTGGGGGGAGGGTTGCGGGGGGTTTGGGGGGGCGGTGGTTTGGGGGGGTTTGGGGGGGGGGTTTGGTTGGTTGGGGTGGGGGGGTTTGGGGGGGGGGGGCGAGCAGCTGTGGCAGGCACTTTTAACTGGCACGGAGTGAACGGGGTGTTAGGGGGGGGAGGAAACGGTGGAAGTTGGGGGAGGATGTTTGGGTGGATTTTCGCGAGGTGGTGTTTTGTATTCGGACTCAGCCCAAGCAGGTTTGCAAGGCTAAAACAGACCCGTGTCGACCTTTTGTTGTCTCAATGTTTGTGTGTGTTGTTCGGAGTTGTTACTTTTTCAGGCTGGTTTGCTGGGCAGTCAAAGGGAAGCCACGATTCTTCAGGTTCCACCTGTTTGAGGACCTCAAAAAAGGGTTGGTCTGCTTTGAAGTTTCCCAAGACCAAAAGAGAAGGGGCCTTTCTTCCCGATCCAGTTGGGTTGAAGAACTTGGGCTTTCAATCCAAAGCTGATTCTAGCAGCAAAGTGCCTGGTTTGCCGTACTTGCACTACTTGTTTGTTGATGCGTATTATACAGATGTTAGTTGTTGCTTGATCTCGGGTCCGCCTTTGCACCACTTCCCTTTAAAGAGTTGTAAACCGAGGCATCCCTTCATAGGGTTTTCGAGAACGTTTTGGGGGGTCTGTTCAAACAGCTGCGGCAAAAGGCAGCCCAGCTGACGGATTCCCGTGACCACTGTGTTTGCAGAGGCGATCTCTGTCAAGGCACCTTTTGGTGTCTGGTCGAGTCTCGCGAATTTGGCGGGCAAAAGCTCACTCTGACCTTGGAAAGATTAAACCTGTCCACACATGGGTGTGAGTCGAAACGAGGAACCAACATGGTGGTTTCCCTTTGTTATTTGTCGCAACCAGTCGTGGCGGAAGTTCTTCATGTCCCGGGTCTGGAGGGGTGACCCGAAAGAGAGCAATGGTGGACGCCTGCATCAAGCAGGGGCTTATTTGGCTATAGCTCAACAAAAGGTACCAAAATGGCATCTTGCTACATGGAACCGAAGACTGAAACCTGCGTAACCCTGGGTCTTTTGTGCGCTTGGCATCGCGTTTCCCAACGCGTTTCCCCCCGTTGCGTGGAGCCTTGCCCGAAAAGTGGCTGTGGGTCAACACCAATGGTACCATTTTGGGGTAGGTGCACCACCCATTTTAGTCTATTTTAGTGGGGATTGGGATGCTCACTGGGGGTACGGGATTTTGCCCCATGGCCAAGTGTTCCTTCCAACACATCCTCAAATTGGAGGGGGGGATTGTGTCCGCGCGTCCCATGAATTCTTGACGAGGTGTTCCAATGGTTCTGTGCCCTGGGCCGTGTTTCTCCCGCTGCCAAAGCGAACATGGGCCAATGTGGCCCATGAGTATTGCCAGGTCCCAAATGAACTCACTCCCTGAGTTCATGAACTTTAAACTTTTTGGTAAGACCATTTTAGTGGTGAACAGAAAGTTTGAACTTTTTTTGCCCATCAACTCAGGAAGTGAGTTAAGGACACCTTCCACATGTTTGTAGGTGAGATGAAATCTGGGAAGGGCCAGGCGCCAGCTTTAAACTCGGTGAGTCTGCGTAGAAATCGATGGGTTCCACCGTGGATGGGTCTTACCCTGGTCATGAGCCCTCCAATGCACCCCCGACCCCTCAGGGGCAGTTGAAAACAACCAGATTTGAGGGCCCAAAAACAATCGAGACCCTTAGGGTATTGCTGTTGCCCCAGTTTAGGTCACCTATAAGGGCCCCTCCTCACCCTTCGTTTCCTTGCGAGGGACCTTGGCTCGGCTTGGAATGAGTGGAGACGAACCAGTGCCCAACCAATCCAAGCCGCCTTTTTCATGGTTTGATCGGTGGCCATGAGTTTCTGCCAGGATTTGAGAAGCTCAGAATCCGCCGTTTTGTTTGTTTTGTTTTGCCAATTAGCAAGGATCCATCCTTTTGGAAGTGGGACCTTTCCAACGCCCGACTGATGTTCACATGTCCACAACCCCAAGTATCCTGAAACGGCCGTCGTGCTGGTAAGGGAGGCTCCACGCTTCTTAGGTCACCAATTAACAAGTACTGCCATACTTCCATTTGGTTAAGAATGTGTGTTATCTGCCCCTGTTGGTTTTAAAGGGAATCTATCATTGGACATGATTGCTCCATGTTTTCCAGGGGGCGAAAAAGCAAACGGGGGCTAAGTAGCTTTCCTTTCAAAGAAAATGCCAACAATTTCTCAGTTGTTCAGTGGCACCCTTTTTCCCCTTTTTGGTGGCAGCCCCATTAAAAACGGTCTTCCCCAAAAACGGACCCTTTTTTCTTTTTTCCATAGTCACTGAACAGCTGAGATTTGTTTTCCACGGTGGCTAGGTCCCCCAGTGTCCTTTTTACCCTTTTTTTGGGGAGGGTTCCCCTACTAAAGTGGACTACCAAAAAGAAAACAAGAAACGCAAAGTACCAACTGTTTCCAGCCTCTCTACTGGAGGACCTAGGGTTGCTTCCATAGGCCCTCTCACTGAAGCCTTCTCCCCGAAACTGACGGCGGCAGGCGGAGGCTTCGCAGAGCATCGCGGCGCCTCGGGAGCAAAAAACATCTAAGCCAGAGCTGATCTAATTTGCTATATATTAATACACATGTATGTTGCTATTTTATGTTGTTGTAGATTGTTTTCTTCCATTGGTTAATGAATCTGTCGTGGGTCTTTTGGTATATACCTCCTGATGGTTTTTTTGGGGGTGCAAAGGGGTCTACTTGGTGCAGGGAAATGACACAATCTGGGCGAGTCAGTCTTGCCGAACAAGAGACCTTTGGGAAACAAATGAGCCACAATCAAAACCCGGGCAGATGAAGGTTAGCAAGGGACAATGTCCTTGCCATAAATAGCTGCGGATATCCGCCTTCTTAATTCTTTACATGGTTCCGGGTTGACCATTTTAGTCCCGGGTTTTGGTTGTGACTCAAATGTTTTTTCCCATACCATCGACCTTTCGCTCAGTGGGGAAGAGCAACCCCTCAGTTGTTCAGTGGCACCAATTCTTTTTCCACCATTTTTTTGGTGGCTGCCCCACTAGCAAAAATGGTCTTCCCCAAAAAGGGTTCCCTTTTAGCCGTCCGGGTTCAAGCACCCCTCGGCTCAGGGAGCTGAGCCCCCGGGGCAGGGCTGGGGCTCCAATGCCCGGTCCTGCGTCCAAAAAGCCATGGCTGGCAGCTCTGTCTTCAACCTGCTCCTCGTGCACCCCCTGGTCACCCTCTTCATTCGCCGAGTTTGTGATGTGTCGTCTTCGGGGAGCTTATCCGCTTGGTGACGCTTTCGTTGCCGGTCCGCTTCACCCGGGAGGCATCCTGGCCTTTGGGTCAGTCCCAGCCTCGAGACACCCCTTTCTTTTGGGGTGAAGGTATTGCTGGCCCTCTTCGTTGTGCGCCTTCGGCCCCTTTGATGCCTCGTTCTCTTCACGCTCTGCATCTGCTTCTCTGGGCGGGTCTACCTGTGTGTGGGTTGTGCCCTTTTGACACCTTGGGCTTCTTCGGCGGTGGTGATGCGGGCTGCCTTGCCCATCGTGCCCCCTTGGGTCGTTAGGGCTGCTACCTCATGGTGCTTTCCATATCCCTGTGGCGTGCGCCAGTGGCTCCGGAGGTCCCGACTTCCTTGGGCTTGTTTGTCCAACTTCGGGCCCTACGCTTGTACAGCAGTTTTGTGCCTTCCCCCTTCTTGGGGGGTGGGCTCATCGGCCTTGCGGCCTTGTGGGGAAAGCCTGGGTTCCTGTGCGGGGGGCTGGTCCTCTCTCACAGGGCCCACGGTGCAGCGTGCTGTTGGGCCTGTTTGGGGTCCTTTGTGCTGGGGGGCCCAACCTTTCTTCGGATGGGTTGGACCCCCCCGCTGCATGTGGTGCACTGCCGGGGTCTTGCCCGGCTTGCCTTGTCGTACAGTGCGCCGGTGGGCCTCCTTTTGTGGGGTGCTCACCCGGCCTGCGGATTGAGCCTTTGGCTCTCCGAGGCGCTTTGTGACCCTGGAAAAAAAGGGGAACCCTTTTGGCACATGGCGCATCCGCGATCGGCTGCGCTGGTGAGTGGGGCATGCCGCCCCACCACCAGTAACGGAGGCCCTCAGGGCCGTGACGCGACGGCATACCCTCAACAAAGTACACACAACTATGGGAAAGGTCGACCCTTTTTGGGAAACCTAGGAATTCGCAGGGGAAACCAAGCGGGTCAAGCTCCAAAAGCAAAAGCTTTCGGAAATTGTTCCTGCGTGATCTGGTGAAACAGGGAAACAAGGGAGAAGATTGCCTATTCAGAGACATGCCTTTTTATTTCCCCGTGATTCAATGTCTATGTTGGATCAATCTGGACCGTACTAGTGAGCCGCTTACTGGGGGGGCGGAAAGGGGGGGGGGGATGGGGGGTCCTCTGGAAGTTAATCCGAAGTTAGCATCAATCATCACATTTCAGGCAAGAGACAAACTCTGGTGACCTTTTTGGTCGACTGTTTGAACATAGATGGATTTATGGCAACCGGCGCTTTGGGCTGTTTTGGTATGGATTCGATAAACAAGTTTCCTTTGTGCCCATGTGGGAAGTGGCAAAAATGAGAGTCCAGCACCCCCCAGCAACTGCTTTTCCAAATGTCCAAGATCCCAAGTGTCCAAAAAGAAGTTGTTGGGGGGGGTGCTGGGAATTATTCTGATGGTACATGATTGCACTGCTCGCATCAGACATTTGTTTGCGAAACCCCTGGGTTCAAGATTTAAACCCAAGGGTTTCGCAGACCAATGCCTGATGCGAGCTACAACATACTCATAACATATTCATTTCATGAGTATGTTGTATGGTTTTTTCCAGGAGACTTGAAGCAACTGGAGGCCTTTTGGGCGCTTCTGTAGGGCTCAAGACTCACCTGGGAGCCAAGATCCATATGGTGCTTGGAACTTGGGTCCTGCACCGCCCAGTGTTTTGTGTTTCTCTCCAAGCTTCTTCCATTTTGCTTCAGACTCTTTGTTGTTGTTCCCTTGTTGGTTTCAAAGGGAATCGATTTCACTACTGGATGTATTTGTATCTTCTTGTTTTCCAGGTGGGCGAGTTCAGCAAAGGGAAGACTGACCGGTCGCTTTCTTCATCGTCATCATCATAGAACGGCTTAGGAGCAGCAAGCACGAGAGCTCTTCCAGAACGAGTGGGAAGCCTTTGAGGAAGAGTGTCGAGGCGGGTCTTTCTCTGCTCACCGATCCGGGGGTAGAACCAGCGAAAGCCATGATCAAGATCCTTTACTTGGGGATCCAATTCGAATTTCAGCTTCTGGAACTATAGTAAGATGTGCAGACGTGGTCCTTTTTCCTCAAGCCGTGACAGGGGTCCCTTCAGAATCGAATGCCGGTGAATCGGTGAATATTTGTTTGGCAATGGCTGGCATCATGGAGATATGTGTACCTGAACCCTCAAATTGCCCTTAAACATGGGGTGTTGCCCCCCCAAATGGGAAGATTTCTAATTTTAAACACAAACGCTCCTGGGGCTTTCCATGGAAGACCCGACCCCTCCATTAGCCCGGGATTGTTTGGGGGTCTTAAAACCTGGCTGTTTGGAGGGCCCTAAATTGATCAGAGCGTCTGGGAAGGGTAGTTTGAATGACCGGGTTCCACACGGCCCGCATGGAATTCGATCGTCATGTCGATCGTGCCGATTGTTTGTGAAACGCTGGTCTTGGTAGTTGCAACGGGGACGACATCCGGAACGACATCTGGAAACCACCAATCCAAACCACCAAGAGGGAAGCTGACGCTAGAGACTCGCTTGCCCAACGCGAATCGCGCTTTTAACCTTGTGGTTTTCCCTGATCCATTCTTATAGTCATGACCCATGCTTGGGGATGCCTTTTTTGAGAAGCTCCTATCGGTGTTTGTTGTGCACTGATGCACTGCTGCAGGCACAGGCAATCAAATTCGCCGGGTAAGTTTGAATTCGACAGCTTTTGTCTGATTTTTCCCCACCTTTCCCCACCTTTTGGATTGACGCAATCCAGAAACCTCAAAGCCAGGGCCGTGGTTTTCGAATCAGACCACTTTTTGGGCCAAAAGCTCCACCCAGAATTTAGTGGGTGGAATCAGACCACTTTGGGGGCCAAAAGCTCCACCTCCCAGATGTTCATAAACTCTTTGTTGCATTTTGCTTGGATGTTAGAACTTCAACTTTTGCCAACTAACGGGTTTTCCGAATTAAACCACTGAACGTTATTCACTTTTTGCAGGGCTTCGCAAAATCACCGAGAGCTCGGATGCAACCATCTGAACCTCGCCTCGCGCGCTTGCTGAGCCCCAGGCCGTTTCGCGCGGACCTCCAAGAACAAGCGGCAGCTCGCCGAGGAGGCCGCGGGATTTCTCGTCGGAGAGAGGTGTCTCACGGATTTCCTGAGCTTCTTTTCGAGCGGACTCGTACACACCCCTGGTTCATACCGGTTCCAAAGGAACGTGGTTTCCAACCCACTTGATAAGGGCTATATACCCCTTCTGGGGAGAGGGGTATGAACATCAGCAGGCCTTTTGGGTTCATTTGTCCAAGGGGTATGTAAAAGGAGTATGTACAAGCATTTTCTGGAGAGCTCCGTTTCGGACTTGAGTCACTTCTTGGGTTTGGACCACTTTGGTGGCAAAAAAGACGACGTCCGGACGGTTTTGGGGCCATCCGCTTGGGAAGTGAGGGGGTCCTTGTCAGGTGAGTTTGAACAAGATCGATGGGTTCCACCGGTCTAGATGGGCTTTCCATTTACTAGGGAAACACCTTGTGTTTTTTGGTCTTTCCCCAAAAACGCCACCTGTGCTGGAAGGTGAACGGAGAAAAGAAATGGAGAATAGATAGACCATCCTTACCTTCCAGTTCCCATGGCAAGAAGCGGGTGGGACAAGAATCTGGAAGTTAAGGAAGGAATCTCACTTTCTCATTCTTCGTTCGTTCTTCATGTCACACACGCTGCAAAGAGATGGATAATGCGTGTGGGCAGGAGTGGGGACATGAGAAAGACAAAGTCATCCAAATCCCACTCCTACTGTGGATGGACGAAATCCGGCACCACTTTCAAACCATGGGAAACCATTGTTTGTTGGTACTTACAGGGGAATCATCATTCTAGGGTTTCTTAGGTGGTGCAGGATTGCATCCATCCACAGTATCACTCTCCTATCGCCTAACATGGATTGCAAGGCGACTGCAGGCCCCCAGACTCTATGAGCCCCAATCGATGAATCGCGGCCCTTGAAAACAGAACCAAGAGCCAACACCGTCGCCTGACCTGAGTTTTAGAAGTTCTGGGCTACAACTTGCGGACCTTCCTTTCTCCCGACTTCTCACGGAAGAGACGGGAGAAATCGTCTTGATGTTCTCTCGGTGGCGTTTTCTTTTTTGTGCGTGTTAAGAAAACGAATGGCGGGTAGATGGTGTGTGAGTGTCTTGTGTGGGGGGTGCCCCCTGGGAGTTGGGATCCCAATTTCCTTCTTGAGGCGAGGCCGTCAGGAGGTTCCTTACGTGCGTCCCCGAAGCGGAGCGCTCGCGTGAAGCAGCCGGAGCCGATGTGATGCCACTTAGGAGACCCTGTCCAGAGTTAGGAGAGCTTCCACCCGACTCACCGACCGGCTGTTACCATGATGGATCCCGGAAGCGCTACTGTGAAGGGACGAAATCCGTTCGCACCACTTTGAAAGCCATGGGATTCCATGGTCGGTTGGCAATTATTTGCAGGGGAATCGAATCATTCGGGGTTTCTTGGGTGGTGCGAAATGGATTTCGTCACATCCAATAATCAAGAAAAGGAGTCGTTTTGGGGGTGCTGGTTCCAAATCCTGCTGCCAAAAGCCCTGCTGTGCTGCAACTTGATAGAGAGGGAGAGAGGGGCTTATTAACCCGGGTTTCCCGTGTCCAGATGAAAGGTTCTCTTTCCGGGTTCCCGCTTGGCATCCCAAGCGCTTGGCTCACCTTCCGGATGGGATTGCCAGGGGAAGCCCTGTTCTGGACAAAAACCCATCTAGTTCCAGTGGCAAAAGTCACAAATACCTACCAAAAAGCTTTTAAATGTTCATCAAACCCACGGAACCCATGGAACCTACAAAATGCCTTAAGAGTTTCCAATGAAACCTACGGATGGAACCTATTCTGGAGGAACCATCACAAAGCCATGGTCAGTGGGCAGCATGTCCTTCTCATCAGTTAGTTTGGTTAGATGTAGATATGTTCCAGGTGTCCTTTGGATCAGCTAGCTTGATTCGATGTGGAAGCTTTCCACTATGTTCCACTGGTTTAGTTGGGCTTCATGCCATCCATCTACCAGAAACAATAACCCATCTATGTTTCCTCTTGGGACCACCCGTAACACGTCAAACCACCACTAAAGCAATAGTTGGGTTCATACCACCATGATTTCCCATCATACCGCCATGATTTTCCATCATACCGCCATGATTTTCCATCAAACCGCCATGATTTTCACCACAATGACTTACCACCCCGATTTACCTAAGGAAAATCCCATCATTGGGTCCTTGCCTTTGTTTTCACGGGGCAAGGAGCCCCGGGGTCCAGGTTTCGTCGCTGAAACCCACCGCCTTCGGTTCGGCGCGCCGAAACGCCGCTTCCGAGAAAGCGCCAGGTCTGTATTGCATGTTGCCAAGGGATGTTAGGACTGAACAACTTTTTGCCAACTAATGGGTTTTCCGAATTGAACCGCTAAGAGTTATTCTCACTTTTAGCAGGGCTTCGCAGAAAGCAACCGAGAGGTGTGCATGGTCTTCAACCACGTGCTGCGGCAACATCGGCACGGCGACGAGGCCCTGCACGTCCTGGAGCTGGCCGGGGCCCCGCGAGGATGGATTTTTTAAGACGACTTCAAACCGGCCCCAAATGGCAACTAGGTCCCCCAGTAGTGCCCTTTTACCCACTGTTTTGGGGGAGGGTGCCCCTACTAAAATAGACTACAGAAAAAAAAGGGTACCGGGTACCCTTGGCAATTGGAAGCTCTGCGCCCTCCAAAATGCAGTTTCCGTGCGTTCCCCATCCTGATCCCATGTCATCCCTGCGAGGATCAAACCTCTCTACTGGGAGCAAACTTTAGAGACCTCGGCTATTTTGAAGGTACCTAAGTAGTATATGTACAGATTTTTTGCGAAAACCCAGCCAGTGCTTAACAATTTGCAAGGATGTGGGATATATCATGTATATATATATATATATGTTTTTCTCTCTCTCTCTATATATATATATATATATATATATATATATATCGGATCTTGGCATTTTTCACCTCGGGCCCGGCACGTCGGGTTCCACCCAAATTTCCCTCCGCCGATTCATCCGCCGATTCATCCGCCGATCGACGGGTCGACGGGGCGGATGTGTCGAGGTGCCCGCGGCGGTGCTGCTGAAGACGGAGCCCTTCTTGGAGCTTCAGCCCGAGAAGGCCGAAAACGTCCCGGTTTTCTTGGGTTTTTCTTGGGTTTTTCCTGGGTTTTACTCCGGTTTTCCTGGGTTTTCCTGGGTTTTACTCCGGTTTTCCTGGGTTTTGCTGGGTTTTACTCCGGTTTTCCTGGGTTTTGCTGGGTTTTACTCCGGTTTTCCTGGGTTTTGCTGGATTTTACTCCGGTTTTCCTGGGTTTTGCTGGGTTTTACTCCTGTTTTCCTGGGTTTTGCTGGGTTTTACTCGGGTTTTCCTGGGGTTGTTCGGATGGGGCTCCGAAAATGGGGGGAGGCGGGGTTTGGAGGTGGTTTTTTTTGTTCAGCACCTGGAGTGTGTCGTTTTTTTGTTAGGTTGGACCTTGCAAAAGGATGGTTTTCTTTTTGCTTTCCCTTAAACACCACCAAACAAGTGGTACCAACTCCAACTGCCCCATTTTGCAGGAGCCGCCCCCATTTGGACACAAACCCGTTTGCGGCTGAAGAGGCTCCTTTGGGTTCCACTTGGGGCGACAGAAGCAGGCAACCATTTTGAGAGCGAGCGGCGTGAGCAAAAACCTTGGCCCTGGCTCAAAATGGAATGGTGTCATTCGCTCAATCCTCATGGGCTCAAGAAAATTCCCATGAAACGGAAGACACTCATCTGGGGGAACTTGGGTGTTACTTGAAAAGCGCTGCATGGACCCTCCAGCTGAGGTCCTACAACAAAATTTCTTGACTTAAATGAGTTGGCTAGGTGCCCCGGTAGTGCCCTTTTGCCCATTTTGTGGGGGAGGCCTATTAAAATATACAGAGAAAAAGGGTACCCTTATTCGGTCCTATCTACTGGAGGACCTAGTTGGAGTTTAGATGCGGCTGCGTTGTCTTTGGGGGAATCTTGCCTGCTACCATCGACCTGGGCGTCGGGTTCTCCGAACACAAGGGGGCGCAGGTTGGGACTAGCTCCCCTGAGATTCGTGTGTGTGTATATATTGTGTGCATGTGTTTTGTTTGTGTGTGTGTAAAGGACAACCGGCGGGTGTCCGAATTTTTATGTTGACCCCCCGGTGTCTTTTTTTGTTTGAGGGTGCCTATAAACGCTTAAACTACCCATAAGCAAAGGAGTTCACCCCGAAATGTTTGAGGCTATCACCCATGTATGGTATTTCGCAGGCAGGTACCCTTGCAGACCTCGGGAGCCAAGCGCAGGTGGCCGAGTATCTGGAGCTCCGGAACGCGGCCAGGCGCGTCTTTCTTTTGTTTGAGGGTTTTTGCCTATGTTTTTGTGTTTGTAAAGCCAAAGGGAAGACCGGAAGCCATTTTGGGGGTACCCTTGAAAAAATGCCACCCCCAAACGGGGCGCACTGCTCGGTTCGAAAGGGAACAAGTTGGAACCCCGACATGAACAAGCTTTGGTCTCCCTAGAGACAAAGCTCAGACATTGATTGCCTGAGAATCAATAATAAGAAGGATTGGCCAGGTGCTCCACCCAGAGGGGGGGTGCCCCCAAGGCTTCCTAAGGAGCCTAAGCAACCTAAGGAAACCCTCAGATAGGGCGGGGGAGTGGGGTGCGACTTGGGATAAAGAAGTGCTTGACACATGGTCAGCTGTGTGTGTGTGAGTGTGTGTGTGTGTGTGTTTTGTAAGCCCTTTTACCTTGAAGGAGACAGAAGCAAGAACCGCCATGGTCGAAGTCCTTTTGACGATGGAAGTGATTTCCCGGGTAGGAATTATCTTGCAATTGGTGCCTTTGTAGGTCCAAGACTAAGGCCTTAGTATTTGAGGTTGTTGGGCGTCAAAGGCCCTCTACTTTTCTTTTGTTTTTTTCTTTCGGGGGGAGGGGGGGGGGCCGGGGGGTTGGGCTAGGGATGTGTACCAACTCTTTCTGGGTCCAAGTTTGGTCCTTTGAGATGTACCCCTTTCAGCAGGCCATATCAGGAAACCAACTGCCCATCACTCAACGCTTTTTGCGTTTACAGGACTCCACACAACAACTGCCCCAAGCTTTTCCAAGGTATGACCCAAGTGAAAAATTCAGCGCTGACTCTGGAACCCCACCGACAATTTGTTAGGCTCGAGAGAACTCCGTCAGGTTGCCTCGGGCGCAAAAGGAATTGGGCGCCTGTGATACCCATCACCCCCTCCCAACAACAACATTCGTGGTTTTGTCATGGGAAAACATCAAAGCTGTCGTTGGAGGCTGTTGGCCCTTCTCACCCATTCCGCATATGGGTCTGTTTATGTGCAACAAAAAAAACGCGGAACCCTTGTCAGGTTGGTTCAAAGGAAAACCAACTGGTTACAACCGCTTTATTTTAGGGGCTCCCAGTCCTTTCACACACCTAAATTCTCAAAATACTGACTTATATACATGGGTTATAGCCCCAACATGATGGTTGGCGACTTCCCTTTAAGGCAGTCTCAGGGTTGAGGCATGTATGTTTTCACCTTCTTTGGGAACCCCGGAAATTCCGCGCGCGCCAGGTTGCGAGACTTCGTTTCGGCGCAGCGCACGGAGAAGGGGCATGCGCCCAGGATCCGTTTTTTTTTTTTGCGTCGATGGCCGTGGGTCAGTGGGATCTCTTGGATCCCCGGGCATCCGGTTCCTGGGGCTTTTGGAGCTTTTTGGTTGTCCGGATTTCACCCGCTCATCCGGTTCCTGTTTTTGGATCAGGCCTTCCATTGAATCTGTTATACGGAGCCGAGAGGGGCGAAGGTGTATATTGGGGTCGACTCACGGAGGCGAAGGGGTGCAGTTCAAAAACATCATATGCGTTGCTATGCACAAAAGAGCAGAATGCACCGACTGCGGTTCACACATGTTATTCCAATGGGGGACGGTTTGTGAGGCCACGCGAGACATGTTTAATGCTTGCGCCTATGCACGTTGCGTGAAACGGCACGAGAAAAGATCAGTGACCATTGTCCGTGAAATTTTGCCCATTGTCCGTGAAATCTCGCCCATTGTCCGTGAAATTTCACCCATTGTCCGTGAACTCGCGAGCCCAAGACATTGTTGGAGTGATGCCGCTATTAGGATTCGCCTTTTACGAACCCTTTTCACATACAGCGGGGAAGCAATAACGTCACAGAACAAAAAGGGAGGTTCTTGAGCTGCCAGAATCAGAACCGCATTGGGGTGTTCTTGCTGAGAACATACGCTCTTTAAGGCCATATCAGGGTGCTAGTTGGTAAATGTGCTATGCCACTTGCTTGCCACAAGGAACGAGCGTGAGCGTGCTGGCTTCACCATAGACGGGACAATTGCGACAATGGGGAAAATAAGGGCGAGGCCGTATACGAGCGCCGATGTATAACGACTTCAATGGAAGGTCTGGGATCGTTTCAGTTGGCTTCTTTGCGGTCGGGTTTCAAACTATTTGCAGGGATCCGAGGCCCGGAACAGGTTGGAACGGCAACAAGTGGGATCTCCGGCTACTCTTGAAAGTGGGAATTACCAACCAGAATTGTGGGTTGCAATACCCTCATGTTTAAGTTCAACATTGAACCCCCCAACAATAGCCACCAGAATCTTTGTTTGGGGGACCACGGGAAACCGGGTTCCGGGCGAGTTTGCAGGTATGTTTGCCTCAGACAGGGGAACACTTAGGGGATTGAGGGACCCTTTTCAGACCGAATGAAACCATGAGGCAACACGGTTACGCATTCGTTGGTACACTATGGCCTCGGTGTCCTTTTTGGAGTTGGTACCCCTTTTGTGGTAGGTTTCAAAGGGAAACCAAAGGCAAACACCACCATTCTAGGGGTCCAACATTAACAACAAGAGACGACAATGCGCACTTAAAGCCAGTTGAAGCCACTCAAAGCCATTTGACAGCCAAGTCTTAAGGCCACTTGAAGCCAATCTGCACTTAAAGCCAGTTGAAAAGCCCATTTGACCGCCACCTGAAGCCACACGCGCGTCAGATCCCTCGCTCGAGTCGAGTCCCAGGAACGCTTCGGAGAGCGACATGTTGTGCTCCTTCGTGGCCTGAAGCCCCGGCGATCCGGCCGGAGGTCGAGTCAAAGATCAAACAAGGCGTCCCCTTTGCCAAACGAATATCTGTATGAACATCATATGAACATGTATGAACATCGTATGAACATCGTATGAATATGTATGAATATGTATGAATATGTATCAATATGTATGAATATGTATGAATATTTGTGTTTTCCCTCGTATGTTGGTGTTAAAGGGAATCTATCACTGCTGGATTTGTTTTTACTCTATTTTTTTCCAGGGGACGTAAGCAAATGGACAAAGATGTCTGGAAGAAAAAACTGGCATCCAGTTATTTTTCCCCCCAGCAACTGTTCGGCATTTTCTGCAGCCATGTCCGAAATCGCAAGTTCGGTGACCAAAGAGCGGCCCGGGTGCGGATGTTTTGTGAAAGGAGGGCTTGGAAGATGGAGTCCTGGAGTCCACGAGATTTTTTCCCGGATGGTGCTGAAGCCATGGCATCATTTTCTGTGGTCAAAGTGCCATGTCCAACGGAAACGGGCCCTTTTTGTGGCTGGCTGCGAAGTCCTGGAGAATCGCACCACCTTGCAGAAGCCCACCGGAATGCTTCGATTCCGCTGCCAGTACCGTTGAACCAACAATGGTTTGCTATCTAGGTCCCCCAATGCCCTTTTACCAAGTCTTTTTTGGGGGATGGGTTCCCCTACTAAAATAGACTAAAACAAATCGGGCACCAACTCATTCTAACCTCTCTACTGGAGCACAATCGTATTTTTGGAAGGACCGGGGCTTAGCCTTTGGATGTACAGCATTCGGAAATTCGATGTACGGCTGGTATTGTTGAGCTGGCCGGTCGGGTATATCTACTGGAGGCCCAAGACATGTCTTCGCAGTGCGAAATGGAGTTCGCGACCATCCACGGCATGGGCCCCAGCGGACCGAGGTGCCAGAGCTGCAGCGGCGGCTGGCCACGGTGTTGAACATGGAGGCGACGGAAAAAAGTCCCCTGGCCGGTGGCGGGTTTGTGGTTCTGTTGTTTGTTGTGTTGTCTTTGTTGCATTTTGCCAAGGGATGTTTAGGACTGAAAAGCTTGTTGCCAAATGGGTTTTCCGTATTAAACCACTAGAAGTGATTCACTTTTAGCAGAGCAGAAAGCAACCGAGTTGTTGTTTGCTGTCTCTTGGTCCGCCTGGCCCGACATTTTGTTCTTCGTATCTTCGGGGCCCATGGGAATCCCAGACGCTGGAACCGATTCATAAACTCGTCCTATGTTCCGGCCCACAAATTGGTCCCTCCAAAAGTGAGGACTCCTCAGCAAGAAAGGACACCACCCCCTATTCACCCTATATATTCATCAACCCTATTCATCAACCCTATTAATCAAGTCCGGGCTATGGTTGATTTATGCTTCTACCTACAGGAATCCCGATAGGCGGATGGATAAGTCTTGCAGGTTCCTTTATTCAATTGTTTTGCAGGTGCTCTTGAATTAATCCATCGTCGGCTAAGCCTTCGGCTCAATCTCAAGACTCGGTAAAAAAAAGAAGAGCAACTGCAGGTGGTTTCCTTTTGGTTTGATTCATCCAGGTATGTCAGGTGCTTTCTTTCAACTTACCTCACCGATGTGTGGATCTTCCTTGAAGGGATCTTGCAACGGATGGACAGGGCAGGAGGTTCCCTTCCAGACGTGGCGTGTCTGAAATGGGGTGATCCGTTTGGTTCCGCCTGGTTAGGCCTGTCATAAAGAAGGGCACTTCGTCTTGGATGGTGCCCCAAAAGGGAAACCAAGACAACTCCGCAGACCAACCGAAACCAGACCCCATCCCTTGGGTTTGGTTGCTCCGGTGCAGGACCTTGCGCTTTGCGAAGGGCCTTCCCTCTACCGGAGAAAAAGAAAGAAAAAAGGGAAAAAACGTGGCGCTGCCCCAAACGGGGGGAGACGGGCAGAACGGCCGCCGGCCGCGGTCGATTTCTCTCGGCAGGTGGACACCCAGATGCCCTCGGAGGAGAAGGTCCTAGACGCGATGCAGCGCCTCAACGATGCCTTGGAGGTCGGTCCGGCATGGTCCGACGAAAAGAAAACGCGGGCGTCTGCGGGGGGTTCGAAGGTAGAAGAGCAACAGGAAGTGTTTTTGTTTTCTTCTGGAGGGTGTCAATTTGGGCTTTGGTTTCGAACAAAGCCACCCTTTTTGTAGTGCTTCTGTGTCTGTGTTGCTTTTTTCTTTGGGTGCCTTGTTTTCGCCGGGTTTCGGAGAACAGGGTTTCGACCCCACACCCCGACCCGAGAGGAGGGGGGTTTGAATTCTATATGCACACCCCATCCAACCCGACTTCCCCACTCAGAAAAGAATTGCGGAGGACCCTTGCTTGGGCGGTCCCAATTTCGAACCACAGAGCCAAAATGGGTGTGTCATTCTGTGAAGGACCCCTTTTGGCTGGATTGAAAAGCAAGCCACAAGGAAACCACCGGATTTTTGTTCCCCTGTTCTGAGACAGACCCTCAACGGGAATAGAACGTGCCAAGACGATTCCTTCCTTCATGTTAACAGCCCGGGGACTTTGGCGATGCTTGGAAGAATGCGAGTGCGACAAATGGAGACTGCATCCTTTTGTTGGTACTTCTAAGGACCCTGAGGCTCAAACCACCATTAAAACCATGGTTGGGTGCATATAACCACCTTCGCTTACCTAAGGATTGTCATCATCCGAATTGGATCAACCATTCTTTAAATACGGGTTGAAGCCTAGGGAGGAGGTACTCACCCAAGAAAGACATCCTCAGGAAAAAACAACACAAAAAACAAGACTTGGAGCTGGGGGCAAGGCCTGCTTTAAGTTTGCGTCGTTTTGGTTGCAGTTGTTTGAAGGGTTGCGATTTAATCTCGACCTTTTTGTCCAAACACGTCATGGACGTGTGCAATGCTTGACTCGCAGGGTTTCTGATTTGATTGGAATGTACCCTCCCCCAACGTAACACAGAAGCTCCCAGGAGCCCTTTGGAGGACTTGAGGCCTTCTGGGAGCTTCCATCTTAGTTTGAGAGAGTGTACTCCTTGCTAAACAGGGCCCGCGATTGCAACTTTGGGGAGATCAGCTTTTCTCACTTGTCCTGTGACTGGCCAGCGATTCAGAAACGGTGCTGAGGGTTTGGCACCAGCCGCTTCGAAGTTGTGGGCTAAACTCCGATGTCCTCAAAACTGGGACTGTTTTCAAGAGCCCTCCAGTGGAGAGCGGGGGTGGGACCCTTAAGAAAGTGAAAAGGCTGCAGCGAATGAATCTTGCAGAATGTGGGAAGCGATTCGATGGGCTTATGGATGTTGCTTTTCGGTTGCAGGCTTGTCAATTGTTTGCACAGAAATTTCCTTTTTCGACGTATTTGCATGCTTCACCAGTTGGAACCCAACGATTTGGTGACTCATCCATGTGTTTGGAAGCCGTTTAAAGGGGCCTCATCCTGATGGTTCATCCAGGGTCCTTCATTTGCGCAGGTGTTCCTTGGGGTGTTCCATTTGGTTTCCATCAACCACCAAACAAAGCGGTGCCTCTCAAAAAAAAAACCACCCAAAATGGCTTTCGAGGCAAGTGGTCGTACCTGCGAAAGGTTTCTCTTCTTGTTGCCACCTCAAGCTTTTTTTTAGCAGGGATGGCTTGATTTTGAAGCATTGGGGATCAACCCCCAACCACCGCCTCTTGGACAAATCCTGAGGGTTTTGGACGGAAACACAGTCTGAGCTGACAAAGGCTGCCTACATGTGTCAAACATCGGGGAACCCAAAATGGGAAATGATTTCTGTGGGTTCTTGCCCTTAGGCCAAGCTGAGAAAAGGGTACCGACTCGGAAAAAAGAAAAAACAGTTTCCTTTTTGGCGGACTTGGAGCGCCTTTCGGGCATTCCATGTGGACCCTTCCAGGTGGAAGAGAGCAGGTTCTTGAGCCAGCGCTGCGCCCAAGTTTGCCAGTGCCCGGGCTCGTTGTGTGTCCAACGCTGCTTTTCCCATGTCCAAAATCCCAAGTACTGTCCAAAAAGCAGTGGTTGGAGGGTGCTGGCTGGGTTTGGATGATTTGGAGCAAGCCACCTCAGTTAGGGTCCGACCCAACTCGATGGGCTTGTCTCAACAAAGGGGACCTTCCAGCATGCAGCTCAGAGCGGTCGTTGTCCTTCATTTTTATTTTTGAAGCATCCCCCAATCAGTCCCCAAACCATACACACAGATGGCACTACCGTAGTAAATCATACTCTAAGAACCAAACTGAACCCAGCGGAATCCGTTGATTTGTATACGCTATACGGCTATGTGCCCAGAATATTCTGAAACGCGAGGGGCAAACCATCTAAGTTTGCAAATTCCTTTCAAACCTTGAGCTTACAATCGGCAACTGCTCTCCTGGGGCGTTCCGATATGTTTGCATTTGGTGCGATCGGCATGCGGTTTGGGGATGGGGTGAAACTGAAACTGACGTGTCACAAATTGTATGAGATGGTGCCTATGTCCTATGCCTCTCTTTCATTTGCCCACTGCTTGAGCAATCTGGGAGACAACAACTGTCAGGCAGTAATTACACGTTGGCAGTTATGCCGGTGGACCGCCAAGTGATCCACAGATGTTTTGCTAGCTTGGAAAGTATATCCCTAGGAGCAGCGGTGGGCTGCTTAAATATGCTTCCACGGCGTTGGTTCGATAGGTTTGGTGGTGCAAGTGAGTTTGTCTTTTGTTGATTGTGTGGCTTTTTTGGGGCTTTAAAGGGAAACCAAAAAGGATCACCGCCAAATTTGGGGAGACCCCTAAAATAAAGCACACCCAAGTCTCGTGTTTGTGGTTTTCCAGGAAGCAATGGTTCCCTGGCAATGTTCTCAGTGAAGTAGTTTGACAACCCCAATTTCGACTTGAGCCCGGTGTTTCCAAAAACATCCAGGAAATATTCCCGAACCAAAGCTTCCATTTGAAGACGTTTTGGGTTATTTGTCCCTTTTGGCTTGAACCGGATCTATCAGAAACATGTTTTTAAAGAGACATAAGCAAATGGAGGGCATTATCATATGGTTTAAGGTTGACCAACTTTCCGGAATCCTTATTTTAGGTGTGCCAATGATCGTGATGTGCCCAGATGGTGCATGTCCTGGGTTTCCAACACTTGAGCAAATGTGGCCATGAATTTTACTAGGGAACCACCTTCAAAGTGTTTGGTGGACATGAATCCCCACCTAAATGATGTCCACCAAAGGGTCCCTTATTAAAATTCATAGCCATGTAGGAAAAGGGATTACCTCACTGCCAAGGTCATGATATCCTGGCTCTTGGGTGCTCAACTACTCATGTTTTTCCGCTGAAAGCTATGGGGTCCAGAGTCCCTGGGGCAGCTTTCAGGGGTTCCGGGGGTTGGGCTGTTGGGGAACCATTTGGGCTATTTTGAAGACGATTTGGGGTGGGAGGGAAACTTCGTTGCCTTTTGCCTAGCTTGGATGTTAGGACTGAACCACTTTTTGCCTTCAACTAATGGGTTTTCAACTTTTAAGCAACTAAAAGCGATACTCACTTTTTCCAGGGTTTGCAGGAACTCCGCAACCGAGAAAAGTGTGCCTCGCAAGTTTGTTCTCTGCCGCGTTTGGCTTGCAGTGGCCCCAAAGCGGCCCTTCGGGAGCGGGAGAGGGAAGTCAGGCACGGGAGCCTGAGCGCTTTCGGATCGGTCGCAGGTTGCGGTTGGCAATTTGGTTGGCGCTGGTTGGTCCTGTCGGAATTGGGGCGACAAGTTCCCAAAGTGACAGGTGCCCATGTCCTTGGTTGGTGAGAACTAGATGGCGATTCCTGGTTGACCTGGTTGTCTCATAATCTACTGAGGGCCATCGATTTTCCCAAAAGGACCCCCTATGAAGGCGGCCTTTGAAACTCGGGTTAGCTTTGAGAGACATGGAGGAACTGCCAAGCCGCGCTTCTGGGGTGTGCCTCTAAGGAGCAACACACTTGTCCCCACTTCGCAACGGGAAGCCGCCCAAGTGTCCTTCTGCTTTTTGGGTGCTGGAAGTTGGGTGTGCTTTTGCTTGAGGATCCGCAAAGGGATTTCGCAGGAAACTCTTTGTGTTTGTTTCGCGGCGTAGGGTGGAGCCCAGTCCACCATCAGCAAACCGGTGGGAGGCATCAGGATTTGTCATCCACCGGGCCATCCACCCCCCCAGACGCAAAACGAGCCTCTGCAAAGGGAATCCCACTGAACATTAGCGCAAGTTTGGAAGTCATGATATTGAGAGGTTTGATGGTTGCTCAGAACACTCGGCTTTGAAGAAGGATACACCCCCCCCCAAAAAAAAAAGCAAGCCAAAAAATAAGTAGATGAATAAATAAGTAAACAAATAAGTAAGTTGATAAAACATATTCACGCAAAGCAGCGGGCATTTGGAGGGGGTGAAGCCACATTATTCTCCGCTTGCGTCCGTTGAGAAGGTGAGGCAATTCCGACTGGACAGCTTCCCAGCCTCAGACCTGCGTTTTGTTTTGCCTGTGAGAAGTTGGCTCAATTGCTACTTTGGACAATACCATAACTTTCTGCCTTGCCAAGGGATGTTAGGACTGAACCCCTTTTTGCGTTCAACTGGGTTTTCAACTTTCAAACCACTAAAAGTGATACTCACTTTTCGCCGGGGTTTGCAGGAAATCCGCCGGGAGAATGAATACTGGATTTCGAAGGGCTCCCAGTTGGTTCGCTGGGCAGGAGTCCAGGAATTGGTTTTGGGCAGCCCGGGGTCCGGGGGATGGCTCGAATGGACACCTCAGGTTTAATAGCGCTGGCGAGTTGGTCGAAAACGATCTTCAAGAGGGGAATCCTGCCTTTTTTGGGAGAAGATCGGCCTATGAGTCGACTGTTTTGGCCTGGGGTCATGAAGGTTTGAGGTTTTGGAATTAACCCCCGCGTCTGCAATGGTCAAAAGACAAGTTCCTTTACTTGGGGTTAACATGGATGGAATTGTCGTCAAACTGCTGACATGGCCTGTGGTCACGGTTCTCTGAATAGCAATCATCATGTAAGAAATACTATGACGGGAACTACAATCATGGGCCATGTCAAGCTCCTTATTTGGGTTATCGTCATGGTTTCCTAAATAGGAATCATTACACACCTACCAAGAACAAAACCACGACCATAGGGCCAGCACGAGTTGAACCATGGCTGTGGGTGGAATCTAAGGCCGGCGCCATGAATAACGACGATGAGGAGCTAGAAGCTCAACGGGTTCTCCCTGGCCGCGGGAGATCGCGTCAGGAAGATGAGCAAACCACAAGTAGAACATTTGGGTGTGTCTCTTTTAGGTTTACCCTTGTTTGAATGGTAAAGGCAAAACCAAAAGGAAGCCCTACTGGGACAGGAGTGCTCATAATTGTTTTTCTGTTTCAGCCCAAATATATCATGGTTCAAATGAGTGGTGGCTATTGAAAGCGGGGCAGGTTCACCGGGTGGGCAAACGCAAAACACTTGTGGCAAATGGCCCGAAATGAGCTTCAAAGGTCTAACTCTTAGGAAAGCTTGTTAGCTTGCAAATGGGACGCTATCCACAATCCACGCACAGAAGAGACGGCGTTTTGCCATGCTTTACAAAGGGTTTGCACCCGTTCAACACCAAACGTGTACACAAAGCAGGCCCATCGTTGTGATGGTCTCCCTCGCAATCAGGTTGCTTTCAGATGTTGGGTAAATCAGCCGTTAGGGTTGGCTGGGACGCACATGGTGGCTCTCCTTTGGCTTCCGGGAAAACCAATCTGATAAGGGTACCTGGACCCTCAAACTACCCATGAAAATTGGGTATTGCTCCAACATTCTGGGGTGATTCCCCAATTGTTTGGGTAGTTTGAGGGTCCAGCTCAGATCTGGACCAATGATTCGGCGAGCTGCAAACTCCAAACTCAGTGATGAAGTTCGCCAGATCCCGGGGCAGAGGCCTGTCACCTAAAGGTGTTCCCAAAATGAGGGGAGGGGGGTTGTTCTTGGGGGTCCCTGGGTCGGGCCAGAACCCATTCGGACTGCTTTCTTGAGTGTTGGCATCAAACTGGAAAGGAACCCTTTGATTTCAAAGAATAAGCCATGGTTGTTGTTGGGAAACATTGGACACATTTTGCTTATTGTGGTTTAGTGGTTGGAATCCAACCACTCAACTGCTTAAAAATAGATTTGTTTGCTCCCCTTCCAACGTCAACCAAGTTCCCTTGGCAGCGAAATGCTTCCCATGTTGTTCAGGCGTGAGCGCCAGCATGACTGGGTGTTCCTTGTCTCACTTCCCGAGTTCTTGGACTAAAATAAAAATAAAAACTGTGAAGACGATTTTGGCCAACAACAAGTTCAGACTTTTTGTTGGACCATCCAGTCGGGAAGTGATTTTTCCTATCCATTGAAGAGCACACACGAAAGGGGTATACCAAGGCCAAACCAAGGGAACCCACCCACATGGCTTGCCTCACTTCCTGAGTTCATGTACTTCACTTTTAGGGGTTGGGCCGTTTTAGTGGCAAACAAAAAGTTTGCCTGGACCCTCAAACTGCCCTGAAAAAATGGAAATCACTCACAATTTTGAGGCAACACCCAATTTTGTTTGGTAGTTTGAGGGTTTCGGTGGACGTGTTTTTTGGCCCAACTCGATGGGAAGTGAGTCACTCGGTCTGAAATTTTGGGTCCGAGGCTGGCGGCCTACCAGGCGTCCCTCAACGCCAACAAAGATGCGGGACAGGTCACTGCCGGCGCCCCAAGCCGTACCTAAACGTCGGCGAGCGCGAGCCTAAACGCGAGCGTGTTTTTGTTTTTTTGTTTGCCCGTCTTTTCTTCCATTTGCTGAAATGAGTACTTTTCTCTCTTTTTTCCCCTGTTAGTTTTAAAGGGAATCTATCACTACTGGAAATATATTTTTTTTTTTCCGAGGGTCTTAACCAAATTTTGGAAGTTGTTATTTTGAAGAAG